TGCCGTTTATATAATCAATCACGTTGATGCCCAAGAGACATTACAGATGTGCATAACAAAAATTATTGGGGACAAAGAGCTCTATATAATAGGTTCACTTAAACAATAAAATACTTTCTTTGAGCGCAAGCAGGTTATGTTAATTAGTTCCCTACCGGTGAAACTGGAGGGGACTATACGTTTCCTCTGCATCTGTCCGTCCGTCTGTCTGTCTAACCTGTCCATTCATTTGTCTCTCTTTCAGTCTGTCCCACTTGGTTTTCCGCACTTTTTTCCAAAACGCTTGTGGTTATTGAGCTGATTTTTGGTATTTGAGTGTATCTTGATCAGTAACAGATCAAGTTTGCATTTCGTTTTGCTTCGAATTACGACCTTTTCAATTTTTAAGGGTTTTCGGCAATTTTTTTTCTAAACGCTTGGAGATACTGAGCTGATTTTAGGTATGTGACTTTACCTTGATTAGTTATAGATCAAGTTTGCATTTCGTTCCACTTCAATGATTTTCGACAGAACTACGGCATTTTCAATTTTGAATGGGAACCAGATTACACTTGCCAGTAGGGGACTAGTATTGCTAATGCAATACTCTCAGAATGCTTGTTAGGGCCCCGCTGTGCGGGTGCCCTATAGTGATCAGTCTCTCGTCCTTCCGTCCGTCAGAGATCTCTTGTACCAAAGCATATCTTCTCTCTCCTTGGTCCAATCTGACTCATACTTCACCCACAGAGTGTCCTTGGGTAAAGGGTGTGCAGTGACCTTGAACTATGTTTCCAGGTCTAAGGTTAAGGTCATAGCAGAATTATACGAAAAATCCTTGTACGGAGCATATCTTCTCTCCCCTTGGTCCAATGTGGCTCATACTTCACTCACAGAGTGCCACTGGTCAATGGATGTGCAGTGACCTTGAATGATGGTATGCTCTGCATTGTTTACTGATGATAAACAACTGTGGATTTCATAAGAAACAAAGAGATAATATTCAGTGGATATAAAATATTTCTAGCATCAAAATAAAGTAAAAATTTAGTGCTTTCCTTTCCCTTTAACAGTTTCTTTTGAGAATTCAGGTGTTGCAAAACAGACTTTATGAAATTGTTCTTGAATTCTTCTTGAATTTCGCAGAAAACAGACATATTTGGTAGCTTCCACAAAGAATTAAAATATGAGCACACCCCTGGATCCAAAAAATAAAACGTTGAATCTCCAAAACAGACCTTTAAGTAATTGCATATTTTGGTTGAGCTTTATTTTAAAGAAAACTCTAAAACCTAATGCCATTCTTGACGGAATTTTCAGGATATGGGAAAAATGGCCTAGCTATTTCGTGACTTCTTAATGCATTGATTAGAAAATTACATCATGTTCAATAGATACACAGCTACCAAGCATCTAAGAGATAAATAATGTCAACAATAAATGAGCAGTTTTGATTTTTTCAGAAATTTAAATTCTGAAATATTACGAGGGCTGTTCGGAAATTATTGAGACATTGTGTATATTCTTCTTTCTTATGAACGTTTTTCGTTGAAAATTTGCATATACGTTTGACAAACACTTAAGAATTAATAACAGCAAGAAATATTTTACAAATATTTTATTTCTTCTTTTCAATGTTATATATATGTGTCAATGGTAGGGGTACCCGGCGCAGTCACAAAATCAGATATTGAAAATATATAATACCAACGTTCAAACTCCCGATGGACCCATAGTAAGAGCGGAAATAATTCAATTGATGTATATAATTTTTCAATTTAATTTTGACTTCATTTTGTGCAAGTTTGGTAGAGTTTCAATCAGAAATACGGAGATCATAAAAAAAAATTAAGTGCGGTATAGAAATCTGATAACATCGACAAAATGGATTTTGACATCAAGGCGGCGCAAGGAGCATACCTAAAATTTTGTGTAGTGCTGAGGAACTCTTTTCCAGTCTTAAGGACCCGCTAAAACAATAACAATGAGAAAAACATGTCTAAGGGTTTGTTTGTTTTTTTTTTTCATTGGCATATATTTTTTTCTTACAAGTAATTAAACCAGAGTAAAAGCAATTAAATGCTCCAAAGCACCATTATTACGGACTAAATAACGTTGACCCGCGTTGCATATATCGGTACTGCATGATGCTAGTAAGTCAACCTGTATATGACACTGCATGTATTTTTGACATTGGGGTGGCAACTTTACACATTTTATTTTTTTTTTTTTTAAATTAGTTTAAGAAAAGAGACAGTTTGAATTTTGGAATGTTATATATAATATCAGAGAAAGAAGAGTAAACGCTTCCCGATCGATTCACATGCAAAAACATCCCCGGCTAATGTGACGTTAAAATGGTGTAGCGATGCTGCTCCAGGTCGATAGACATATGCATGTTTATAATTTCACCGGAATTTATCTATTTATCCTATAAATTAGAAATTTTGCACAATTGTAATATTTGTTCTATATAAAATGTTGACGAATTTTCATGAAATTATCTCTGTTCTTTATGAAGTAAAGGTAAATGTCTCAATAATTTCCGAACAGCCCTCGTATTACATAATATTATATATGTAATTTTTTACAGCTCTTTTTGTAGAATTTCATATGCCATATTTGGTGAATTATAGTACAAAACAAATACCTTTTAAAATTGAACATGAAATATAAACATATGATAAATGAATGATTGGAAGACTTTGATATTTAATTTTTTTGGTTGCATTTTCAAGGTGATGCAGAGAAGTATTAAAATTGAAGGCTTTTGTGTAAAAAAAAAAAAAAATCACTGATAAGAATCAATTACTCAGATCTGATCCATACACTGCAGTGTGATAATGTAGAAATTTTGCAATCTTTTTTTCAGATGCAAAAGGAGACACCTTAATTGGGATGAATACATGAAAAAAAAAACTCATAATAATCTTCATGATGACTGTGACAAAAGATGAGACAGAATTGTAATCAGAGCCACAGAGCCAAATAATGAAATATTCCATGCTGAGTGATTGGAATTGTGCTGTAGAATTTTTTGGTGTTAAGATAATCATGACGACTTTTCTACCTGTTGACCATATGGCTTAGTGTTTAAGAGAGAAATGGGAATTTCAGCAGGCCAGAGATTTGCTCTTTGAGAAGGTAAGTTCAGTTTTATATGTGTCCCTAGATGTAGACTGCTTAGGTACATGTAATTTTTTTTTTAACATTTTACAAAAAAGTAAAAAATCATTTCTAAAAAATGTTTATTATTTCTTGTAATAATGAGATTATTAAAATGTAAGCAGCAAAGGATAAAAATGTGAGACCAGGTCAGGATTCAAACCTGAGTCCCCTGAATCACTATTCAGGTGCTCTACCATTACTGAGCTATCTGACCACCAGCACTCAGACCTGCCTGACCACCACATTCTCCCTCCTGAAAAGTCTTTGCCCCCAAAGACACCAACCCAAGCTCTACCCGGACAGGACTTTCACTTGTTACTTCCAGGGCATGGCATAAAATGTAATGGGAAAGGATGGAGGAATATGATAGTGAGTTTGTTCGCCGGTGGCCAGATAGCTCACTTGGTAGAGCAACTGATTAGTGATTCAGGGGGCATTTCAAATCTTGGTCTGGTCCATCATATTTTTCTACAAAAGTTTATGTTACAATGAAATTTAGCTGCAGTTCTGTAACTCAAAAAAAAAAAAAGCAGGGTTTACATCCCTGATTTTTTTTATGCCCCACCATTAACATGGCCAGGACGTAAAGTGTTTGTCATGTCCATCTTCCATCCTCCATCAGTACTTCCATCACACTTTGCATTCACTTCACTTTTCAAAAAATTTGTTTTAGCTAAGTTTTAAGATATTTTTATCATACTTCATTTGCTTGTACATACTGATGAGAGTTATTCAAGTGAAAAAAAACAACATTTTTTTGGACCTTGACCTTTTCTTTGGAGACCTTGACCTCACTTTTCTTTAATTTGTGTTTGGCTAAGTTTCAAAGACACTATATATTAAAATAGGATATTTTTATCAAACATTGCATGCTGATACATAATGGTGAGAACTATTCAACTTCTTCAACATTTTTTGACCTCCTTTTTAAATATCAATGAGATGCTAGAGAGATGCATGTTTAGCACACAGGGCGGTACTTAAAAAAAGATCATTACGTTATGAGACATAAATTATGCTTGCATGCTTTCGTGCACTGATGTACACTTATATGCCTTCTTCATTCTTACATTATTTTCTTATTAAATGATAACAATGCGGGTACTGTATGACATCTCAACTACTCAACTATGACGACACAGTGTATGACACGTACTGTGTTACCAAATGACAGAGGCAAAGGGAAAATCAAAGAAAATGTAATAAACTGAAAATTCAACTTTTTGTAGTTGGATATGGAATTTATTTGCTTCCCAACTGTGTTAGTTGTGTAATTTTGAACTTTTCAAACAACCCCACGAGACACTGCGGGACATATCAAGCCTGTATTGACATCGAGCACTATTGCTTTGTTTAACCGCTTTTATGGAAAATTGCGACAGGATTCTTGATTTCATGGATTGAACAATGCCCTTGATGGTATCACGCAATATATACATGTATATACTCAATATTAAAGATAATACCTGATTTCTCTCCAGCTTGTTAAATCAAAATAAATATAATTGATTTTTTTCGCAGGAAATATATGTTTATACAGAAGCAGAATATTTGTGATGTTAAACTTTTTTCTTCCTTCAGATTTCTTCATTGATGTAACAAGTGAATTTTGGATATGGTGGAATATTCTGTATATAGTAAGGTTGAATTGAAAACATAATGGGTTAAATAATTAATGCCCGAACCCAGAATATAGAATAAAGCAGTGGATATATACTTATGACTTTTCTTAATTTATCCACAAAATAACAGTCAATCTATGTTACCAAGTTTGGAACAACAAAAGCCAAAAATTTGTTCTAGTTTTTGATTAAAAAAAAATTGGAAACTTAAGTCAACTAGTTCCAAAAATCACAATGGCTGGGAATTCAGAACTCACTGGAAATCAAGGAAACGGTGAAAATAAAGTGAAACCTGCTGGAGGAATTCACATCCGGAATGTAAAAGTTGCTCCATTAGACCCATCCCAACAGACAACTTCTGGGCCCGCCCACAAGTCGGCATGGGATAAAGTGAAAGTCAGATACAAGGAGGGTAAGGGGGCATCAACAGAAACCAGAATAGAGCACTTACAAAACGAACAACAAAAAATATCAAAGTGCTTAGATATTTCCTCAGTGTCAGAAGTGCTGAGGTCCAAAAAATTCACAGACCCCAAGCTGGAGAGACTCTACCAGAGGTATTTCTTCAAACTTAACCAGAACAATTTGACAATCCTGATGGGAGTTTTGAGTGTTGTGAGTGTCCTTTTAATTATTTTTTATTACATCAGTGGTGCTACTCTTCCAGCGAGGGGGATCAACTTGGGTATCATTTTCTTTGCTTTGGTTGTGCTACAAGTCGTATGTAACAAAGGGTCTTTTGACCAGCAACAAATGGTGATTGTTTCGTACATCATTCTAGCGCTTATTTGTGGGATTACGATTTTGATAACTCTTGATAGTGACCCTCGGACAGTGAGCGATGGAGTTTGGTGTACAGTTATTTTTATATACCTCATATACACCATGCTTCCGATAAGAATGCGAATGTCTGTTATTTCCGGATTTCTTGTAGCGTTGATTCATTTGGGATGCACTTTAGGTCGAAATATAGGTGATTCCTTTATATGGAAACAGGTAAGTTGCAATTTTCTGTTTCATATGAAAATTTTTCATGTTACTATTTACTGTAGATCACTAAATTTTCACAACACCATATTTTCGTGAGATAGTCAATGTCTTTTTATTAGCGAGACAAAATTTTCGCAAATTGTGGTTATTGCTCTATATAATCATAAGGATTACTATTATACACGAGAATGAAATTTTCACAAGCACACTATCTCGCGTAATTACGCGAAAAAGTTCACGCGAATAAATGGTGATTTACAGTACTTGTATGTGTTTTCTGGGTTCTCTGTTATTTTCACTTTTCTCTCGCTATTTCAGCTGCTGAGTAACATCCTTATATTTGTTTCTGTAAATGTTGCTGGAATTTTTACCCACTACCCAACAGAGCAAGCGCAAAGGCAAGCGTTCTTAGAGACCAGGCGCTGCATTGAGGCCCGATTGACCACACAAAGAGAGAACCAAGAACAGGTATGTACAGGTTGTACCAAGAAAAGGTATGTACAGGTTAAATTGTACCAAGAAAAGGTATGTACAGGTTAAATTGTACCAAGAAAAGTATGTACAGGTTGCACCAGGAATTACTATGTACAGTATTACTAAGAAAAGGTATGTGCAGTTAGCACGAAGAGCAGGTATGTACAGGTAGCACCAGGAAGTAGTATATATCAGTTCAGGTAGAATTCAGACAGGTATGTAAAGGCAGCACCTGCAACTAGTATATTAAAACTCAGAGCAGGTATGTTCAGGTAGCAACAGGAACAGGTATACACAGGGGAAAAAACAACAACAGGAATATACCTGTAGAAACAAACCCAAAACATTTCACTTCATGGTTTATGAGAGTAGATCGAACCAAGAACATGCAGGTACAGTTATAATTAGTACAGGAACAAGAATATATTTTTGTTCTCTTAGGAAGAGCATGAAGCCTTCTAACAACACAATGTTTTTCATTCCTCTTCTGTTTTTGTTCGAGTTTATTAAATGCTGGTACACAAATAAACTGAACCAAGGATCATAGTTACTATTTGTTGGTGTTGCCATGGCTATACTATGTTTCAAATTCAGGTGTTGCCTTTTCCTTTATTACATACCTGGTATGCTCTAGTGATCCAGTAGAGCTACAGTTTCATTAGAGATATTTCTGATTTGTTTGATCAATTGGATATGATATGGTATTTATTTATTTTATCTCTTTCTGTAGGAGAGACTTTTATTATCAGTGTTACCAAGGCATGTTGCCATGGAGATGAAAGCAGACATCGCTGGAAACACGAAAGATACCATGTTTCATAAAATTTACATACAGAGGCATGAGAATGTAAGGTAGGAATTATTATAGAAAGGGATCAGTAAAATCATAAAACATTGAGCATTATTGTTAGCTGACTGACTCATACTCTCTCTCACGTCGCTCCTGTAAGAGATGGGGATGCCAATCTAGTAGGGAATCTGGGGAATTAAACTGTCAAATAAGTGTCTTGTATATATCAGGAAAGATTTGAATGTGCATGCTGCACAAAACATTTTCTGGGTTTGGAAAGAGAATATTTGTCTAATAAGTCCAAGGACATTTTGGTTTCTAACCTCTATCTCTTCCTAAGCCTTTATATATAGTATATTTGGTAATAAATTCTTATGAATGATGAAAGGCAGCACCTCCACAGATAGTTTGAAGTGCAAATTTGTCAATAATTCAGTTCGAAGAAGAAATGAAAATCATCCAATATTTGAATAGCTATTAACTTTTGCAGTTGAATAATATTTGTTCATCAGGTTTGCAGACGGTGAAATTGATATAGCTTCTATGACCACTATTTGGAGCACTTTACTTTGTTGCTAGAAAGGTCTTCCATATCATTCAGAGTTCAGATTTCTGTGCAATCAAGTTGACTCCTTGGAGTCAAGGATATCAGGTTGTCAACACCACCCTATCAGTTTAAATAGAAATACTAGTAGCTAAGCAACCATCAGAATACATTTTAGCAAGTGTGTTAGCCTAAGGGTACATTATATGCTAGATAAATTAAACAGTAAGTTTCAGTTTAGGTTTTTTACCTTTCAAAATAAAAGATGTTTGTCACTGAAATTCAGGGCTGATCTTGGGCTGAAATGACTCCTAATAAAAATAAACCTGTATTTTCCCATAATGTGTTTGAAGTTTCTTTAGATTCCATGTTTCTCAATAAAAGCCAAAAATCACTTCTCTGGCATTATCCTCAGAAAAGCAGGGTGAAACAAGAGTAAAAAGAGTAGTGTCATTAAAAATATATGTTGAAAAAACCATTAGTGCAGGAAAATTTATGTTGTAATATACAGATATATGGTAGAAGCTTTCAATGTAACATGCAGATTTGAGCTCAAACAATTCTCCAGATTCCCCTTCTTCATTATTCCATGGGTTTGGAATTTGGTTGAAGCCAAAAAAAGGTGTTTTTTTTTTAATATCACCGGCCAGGCCTGCATTTTTACAAGATGACAGGCATTATGGAATTTAGAAAAAACAGGAGGTCAGAATTAATTGACACAAAAATTGTTTATGACTATAATGTTGATTTAAGGAAGTTTTACTTTCATAACCATCACAAAGGAAGCTTGTGATCTGACAGAGGTGGTATATAACAATTTTTAAATAATTCAAGTCCAACAAATTCAAGCTAGGTCATAGGACTTCGCAATATTATTTTAGCTCACCTAAGCTGAGAGCTCTAGTAAGCATTTCTGATCAAATTTTGTTCAGCATCCTTCTGTTTTCAACTTCTGCTCAAGAACCATTTAGCCAATTTAAACCAAACTTGCCACAAAAAATCCTTGGGTGAAGGGATTTGTTCAAATGTCCACACCTCTTTCATCAGGAGATAATTAAGAATTTGTAGAAATTTAATGGCATATCTTTTAAAAAAATCTGCTGTTCAAGAACCAGAGGACCAGAAAAGATGAAACTTGTGTGAAAGTTTCATTACGTAGTTTCATTACGTAGTATAGATTGAAGTTTAATTGTTCAATTTATAATCCCGGCCCTATAGGAAGGGGCCACAGTGGGCGATGAAAGTTTACAAAGGAATCTTTTAAACTCTTCTTCTCAATAACAGTAAAACCATGATTAATCATATATGAATTTCAAAGCATCTGTAGGTAGTTTATATTCAAGTTTTGTTCTAGTCATGACCTTCAGGGGTATGGTGCCCAGGCCGCAATTTGCAAACGAAGTTTTCATTAGAAATATATATTTGGAAATATTTAAAAAATTTTCTACTCAAGATAAGCAAAGCCATTATTAGTCTTATTTATATTGAAGCATCCTCAAGTAGTGAAGATTCAATTTTGTTCAAATCATCATCCCCTCTTCTCAAGAATGGCACTAATGAATAGCATACTAGGCATATTTATATGGAAGCATCCTCAGGTAGTGTAGATTCAAATTTGCTCAAATTATGGACCCTGGGATAGGGTGGGACCACAATGGGTGATCACAGTATTACATAGGAATATATAAGAAGAAATTTTGCTGATGAAGAACATCAGGGCCATAATGTCTGAGGTGAGCATTGTGGCCCTTGGGCTTTTTGTTTGTTCTAAATTTTAGCTATTTTCAAGTTGGTCTTTGCAGTCGAATTGCCATGGAGGGATACAGTTGTATTAAGTCAGGATGACTTTAGTTTTTCCTTCAATTCTCTTGTAATAGTTCTAATAGAATTCTAGTAATTGTTCAATATTTATAATTAATACAGAAATAATTCTCAATAGATTGAGTTAATGGTATTAACAAAGCTAGATGCCTTGAAGTGCAGCTATATCCAGATTGGTGCTTAATCAAATGTGAATACACTTTTGTGTTGGTACCTGTTGTTCTATAGAGTAATTGAAATAATACAAAGTCACTGTATAATTATAGTCTCAAAGCATACAGAGTTGTCGTAAAATTATAGTCTCAAAGCAATTGATATTCACAGTATTACAAAATTTGAATCCCATTCATGCCACATTAAGCTAGCCTCATCCTTTATGTGAATCTCTATTATCAATCAGCAGACATTAATTAATAATTTAAACCATCATCTGGTGACAGATATATAATCCTATTCATGTTAAAATATGAAGTTATCAAATACTATATGTTTAGTGTCTTTGACATTTGACTTTATTTATGACTTCTGAGGAACAGATTCAATGTGCCATTATCCAGTGACAGAAATTCCATTTTTATTAATAAAGAAAGTTATTAAATTCATCTGTCTTCATATCAATGACTTCATTCCTTTTGACAGTTTGGCTTCTTTGTTTTTGATATATCATATTTGCTGACAATGTACCATCTTTTGGTGTCAGAAATTCCATGACTTTATTGATTTTAACAGTTTGATTTGTATGTATTTGTAGTATCTTGTTTGCTGACATGTGCGGGTTCACCCAACTGTCCTCTCAGTGTACTGCCCAGGAGCTTGTGCAACTGCTCAATGAACTGTTTGCCCGATTTGACCGCTTGGCCGCAGACAACCACTGCCTGAGGATTAAGATCCTGGGAGACTGTTATTACTGTGTTAGTGGACTTCCTGAGCCCCGCCCTGACCACGCCCAGTGCTGTGTGGAGATGGGACTGGACATGATTGATGCCATCTCGTATGTACTATATATATATATATATATATATATATATCACTATATCATTCGAATTTCAAGATCTGTAAAATTAGGTTGACATATGAAAGTGATAAGGAAACCTGTTATCTGTTATTCATGCTCTATAGACAATATTGAACTTCAAATTGATCCTGACAACAAGTGTGTTCTGGAAGGTTATCCACATTAAAAAAATACAACAAATTTAGAAGCACAGTTCCGGACCTTTGAATATTTGGTATCAACACTTGAAAATTTAGGAATTATGTTAAATAGTGTAGTGTATAGTCCCATTGGATACCATCTTCACTTGCCAAGTCACTCAGAGTACCTGATATATGTTACTCTCCTCACAACACCTTGGTCTTTATCTAACATGTCAGTGAAATCTTTGTTATCTGGTTGAAAAATAAATTTCTGACAAATATCCATCAAAGTTATCATCCCTGTAAATTTATGGGAAAGGGTGACCTCAAAATACACTAACATGGCCAATTCTACAGTATATTAAATTAAGCTGCTACCAAATGTCAATCTTCACATATTTCCTAGTCTGTTTAATAAGATTTTCCAGGTTAGATTGATGCAAATGCAGCATTAAGTCAAGAAAGAGTATTGAATGGCACTGGGAAATTAATCTGCTTGATTATGTACACAGCTGATTAGTGAATCTCGGTTAATTTATAGATTAATTTGACCTTGATTTCATTCTCAGGTTAGTGAGGAATGTGACAGGGGTGGAGGTCAATATGAGGGTGGGAATTCACAGTGGGCGTGTCCATTGTGGGGTCATAGGTCTCAGGAAGTGGCAGTTTGATGTCTGGTCCAATGATGTGACTCTAGCCAACAACATGGAGGCAGGTGGCGTTCCAGGGTATGTATCAGAACATTAAAATCTCACAGGTATTTTTAAAGGTGTTTGAAAATATAAAGACTTCAACACCTAAAGTCAAGTTGCAGGTGCCCAACATACCCAAATCACAGTTTGTGTGTTTTATGTCATACATTTTTTTTTGTACATAAACTTAGGAATGGTTTCAATGTTAGACCCACAAACTTAATTAGTATTCGCCCTAAATTGAGGATTGGCAGAAGTAATTGATAAGATAGATTGAATTTTTTTTGGCACTTGGGCATGGGTCATCTCAAAAGTTAGCAGCTATGATTATTACACATTCATACTTTTTAAATGGTCTTCTAGAGGGAGAAAGTGATCGATTTTCACAGAGGGGTATGTAAATATTATACATAATATCCTGTAGGACTGTTGTGCAATATTTATCCTTTCAGGAGAGTTCACATTACCAAGGAAACCTTACACTGTCTCCATGGAGAATACGATGTAGAACCAGGAAGTGGAGCAGATAGAAACGCCTTCATTAAGGAGAACAAGATCGAGACATTTCTAATCGTCGCTGATCCACATAAAACCAGGGTAATGGCAGCTTATAGATATAAAAAAAAAGATCAGAGAAATAAAAAGATCCAAGTTTCATGCCAAAGATGCATTTTTTTTTTCTTTTAAATTTTTATGAATCCTTCTTAAGAACAATGCTTTTATGGTGATTATTTGGCATCTTTGATCAAAATTTTGCTACATGAAAGGAATAAGACTAGTCTAGGTGATGAATATGTTTGTTCTTGCAGGAAAAACCCAAGACACTGCCAAACATGAGAAGTAGAAACTCTTTAGCCATTCATGGAACATCCAAAGATATGAAACTCATGGGGTACAATAACGATAGGAATGCCAACATACATAACAAGTGGGTGAAGCATTCAGACATCTAAATATCATTTTAGATTACAATATTTCCTTTGCAATCTTCCAGGTAGGACTTTGAAATGAATTTCACCATGCAGTTTCTTGATATTTGTTAAAAAAAATTGATGTAGAGGAAATTTTTCATTGTTCTAAGTACAAGAGGGTCATTCCATTCATAGGTAATATTAAGGTTTCTAATTAATAAAACCCGATCAATAATAATCTCTTTGTACAAGTCTACAACTGTGTATTTGTCCTCTTTTAAGGCTGGGATTTGGAGACAACATGGAAACCAAGGATCCAGATGAGGAGGTCAATGAATATCTCGGCCGAGCCATCGATGCTCGAAGCATCGACCGACTCCGATCAGAACATGTCAAAGTTTTTCCGCTCAAATTCTTGAAGCCTGATCTAGAAGAAAAGGTAAATCGATCTCCACTGATTTTTTTATCTTATTTTATGTATTCATTAAATTTTAACTTAATGTTTTCTTTTCTTTTACATTTTGGTACTTTTTCCATCTTTGCTTTGACTTAAAGATGAAACCTTATTTATACCACGTTATCAGATATATCAGGTGGAAGGTAATATCAGTTATAAGACAAAATAACCTGGATCACTTTTTGTTACAGGAAATGTAAAATTATTTATTGTCTTCCATCCTGGCTATTGAATTTTTTTAATGCAGTGGTGCCTCATTAATCTGTTCACCTTCGCCCAAACTAAATTGTCTTGACAAATGAATCGTCAAGATAAGTGAATCGCCTTTTTGAATAATCCTGGTATCAAATGCGAGGGAAAAAACAACTTTAAATACCTCTGTTTATGATTTTATTTTTATAGTTTTTAAAGAAAAAATATATTTGCAAATAAGATTTACATGATTAAATAAAATATGGATACTCAGTTTTACATCTTTTTCTTGACACAGGCAGAAACTTTAACTCATCTTTTTTTTGGAAAGTGACTGGAAGAAATGACCAAAGTTTGGTCTGCCACTGTTTTTTATGCCATATTTCAACATTTTTAAGATCACGAGAGAATGTTCAGGACCATCAAAATATTTGTGCTGTCTGCATGCATTTATTACTATAGACCACTAATAACTGACAGCTCACAGCTATCTCGGACTTGTGTAATCAGTGCAAACATTGATTGTCACTATTCAACAAAGACACAACCATCTTCATATCAATAATTTATTATCATTTCTAACACATTTTAAGAATTTTCATTTTCTAATAATTTAATTTAGTTTTATCTTTAAGTCTACTTTAGAAAATTTATTAACCAAATTTTTTTAAAATTAATTTGATTAACCTTCACCTTTGTTTTAGTTTAATTCATCAAGCACCTGTTATTTACTAACCAGCACCTTTTGACCTTTTTCAGTTTCACAGAGTCCGTGATACCATGTTTGTATCACATCTGGCTTGTAATCTTATCTTGCTCATCTTAATATGTGCCATTCAACTTGTCATTATTCCTCAGTAAGTATCTATCATTTGATTGGTCAAAGGGGTTGAGACATAGAACCAATCAAACTAAGGTATAAACACAATGTTATTATGATGAACCAGTCAAATCAAGGGATAAATAAATTGATTGGTCATAGGGGTTGAGTTATAGAACCAATCAAAATAAGGTACATATACACCTGTATGATTATGATGAACCACTCAAAATAAAGTATAAATACAATATTATTATAATGAACCAATCAAATGATTTATGAGTTGGACATTTTTAAGATTTAATTCAATATTAATTATCATAATTGCTAATATTTATTGTAGAGTTGAAATATTTAAGTAGGATAAATTTTGCTATCTCACAAGATTTTTCAATGAATACGTTGAATTTATAATTTCAACCAGGAATTATATCTCAAACAAAATCCCTTTCATATGCAGTATAATATCTGAAAGAGCTGTGAAATATATTAACATCCAATGACTTTTGGGTGTAAATTGCAAAAAATCCTTCTACTTGGATCAGGCCAATATTAATCAATTATTTAGAAGAGCAACTTGGGAGCTTAAAATAATTCCTCTTCCCCTTAAGCTATGATAATGTTTAATGGCAGTACTCAAATCCAGCTTTAAGTGCAAATAATCCATAGATTTTTAGCTCACCTGAGCTGAAAGCTCAAGTGAGCTTTTCTGATCACCTGTTGTCCATCGTCCATCCATCTGTCTGTCTGTCAATCTGTAAACCTTTCTTCTCAAGAACCACTGGGCCAATTTTGACCAAAATTAATAAAAAGCATCCTTGGATGAAGGGGAGTTTAAATTCGTAAAGTAAAGGGCCAAACCCCCTTCCAAGGGGAGATAATCAGGAAAAGACGAAATTAAAAAATCTTCTCAAGAACCACTGGGTCAGAAAAGCTGAAACTTAGGTGGAAGCATCCTGGGGTAGTGTAGATTCTAAATTGTTCAAATCATGACCCCTGGGGTAGGGCGGGGCCACAATGGGGAATCCAAGTTTTACATTGAAATATGTAGAAAATATCTTTAAAAATCTTCTTCTAAAGAACCACTGGGCCAGAAAAGCTGAAACTTATGTGGAAGCATCCTGGGGTAGTGTAGATTCTAAATTGTTCAAATCATGACCCCCGGGGATAGATCGGGGCCATAAAAGGGAATCCAAGTTTTACATTGAAATATGTAGAAAATATCTTTAAAAATCTTCTCAAGAACCACTGGGCCAGAAAAGCTAAAACTTAAGTGGAAGCATCCTTGGGTAGTGTAGATTTTAAATTGTTAAAATCATGACCCCCAGGGTTAGGATGGGGCCACAATAGGGAATCCAAGTTTTACATTGAAATATGTAGAAAATATCTTTAAAAATCTTCTTCTAAAGAACCACTGGGCCAGAAAAGCTGAAACTTATGTGGAAGCATCCTTGGATAGTGTAGATTCTAAATTGTACAAATCATGACCCCTTGGGGTAGGCAGGGGCCACAATAGATATTAAAAGGGGGAAAAAGTTACTCAGGTGAGTGTTGTGGCCCATTCATATTATCTAATGGATGAAGGGTCAATGGAACCTGGATTTTATGTATTCTAATTATGGTCTACTCATAGGGAATTCCTCCTGCTTTGAAATTTGAGCATTCCTTTTAGAATAATTGGTAAAACATTCAGAAGATAAAGATGCATGATTGCTCATTTTATTTTAAGGTTCAGAAACCCTCCGTTCACTCATATAAAATGTTGCTTTAATACTTTTATGATTTTCCAAAACAAATGTACCTTTTAAGTACAATGCAAATAAATTTAGCATACTTTGTAGGGCAAAATTGAACAAAAAAGACATACATATCAAGTTGACAAATTTATAAAGACATGATACACATTTATCTCATAAAGAGTTATCTCTCTTACCAAAGTATCAATGAACCTTAATGCAAAGATGTTAAAATGAACATGCACATTGACAAACACTTTTTTTTATCCATTTCAGTTCCATTATAATGATCATTCTCTTTCCATTCACTGTCACCATTAGCACATTTCTAGTCCTCTTGGTGTTCTGTGAAAAATTTACGGTAAGCCATTCTTTTATATTATTGTAAAATTCATATGAAAATATATCGGATTTTAGATCACATAATATTGTTACAGTATAAGATTTTTGGAATGATCATCATATTAAATATTTTTGTGACTCGGGTGAGCACTGAGGCATATAGGTAGGATTGTCCCTACGAATTGAAATAGTTGGGCATGTTAAAAAAGTAGAAGGGGATTTGGGGTTCCTCCCCTAACAGGTGTTTGAGGGGGAATACCAGAATAACCAGGTGATATTGTCAGTAAGGGCAGGGATATTCCTTGCCCCCCCCCCCCCCCCCCCCCCCCCAGGTCTTAGAGACAACCCTTATATAGGCCATATGTCACAGAAGCTTCATTTAATGTACATGTAATTTTTCTTTCAAACTAATAGTCCTTAGAGCAAGATGTAGAAGAAAATTTGATAATCATATACATTATATGATATAGAGACTTTGTTCATTAAACAGTGTACACCTAGGGTATTACAGAGAGTCGCCACCACGATTGCCATCCATAAGTGGTTGAACGAGCTTGTTTATGTACTAGCTGTCATGTGCCTGTATGTTAGTGCCTTCACTTCTATGGTGAGTAACTTTGATCAATTAATTTATCATCATATACTGTAAACCAACTGTTATTTGCATCATCTTTTATTCACAATTTGTCAGTTTGAAATCATTTCGGGACGATTAATTTTCGCAACTGAGGAAACATTCTCTATGAATAAGAAGCAAAATAAATGGTTCGCGGTGATTAATATTCGCGAGTTAAAGTAGGTCATGAAACTCACGAATATTTCTCGCACGCAAATAAAAGTTGGTTTACAGTATCAATCTCCATGTAGCATTCAGTTTAACTGCTGATTTCACTTTTATTCTGTGATGGAGTAATCCAGCTACACTGTGGTTTTCTGAATCCATATCGTACCACTCTCTGAAACTAATTACATGCAGGGAAACTCGTTTATAAAGAAGTCTCAGGGAATTTGAATTTCCCTTCGATCCTTATAATCAAGATTTTTTATATCCACAAAAGAAACAAAGTGGGATTTTTTGGGGTTTGTAAGTTTCCTTATAGCCAAGATTTCCTTATAAGCAAGTTCTGTATAATCAAGTTTTACTATATTAAGTACATAGCTTTTTTTCTTGTATGTCTATCAGTAATTTAATTTTGTTTGTGTTCTAGCCTCTGATTGGTTAATATCCAAAAAGGAACATAAATTATTTCTGTATAACCTGGTTTGATATGGGGACACACCCCCCTGACAACCAACTGAATCATCTGTATCCATACAATCCTCTCATTTCCAGTCCTCGGGATTCATGGAAAATTCAAGATTTCATAAATGTACCTTTAACTTCAAACAATAATTCGATCTTACCATATGTAAACAAACAACAAGGCTTCTAGGCCTATGCATCAGTTTTTACCTCCCCTCGCTTCCCATCACTTCCGTTACTTCCGTTACTATGGTTGTATTATTGAGCGGCAAATTTGAACTAATAAAAAGCAACGAAATTTTACACCCTTAGTTATTTAATGATTTTAAAATTAAATTATAAGGAATGACTAATTTTGGCCAAATTATTCGAGTATAACCTGGTTTGGGTCAGTTTACTCTGTTTTATAATCCGCTTCGCGGATTATGAAGCGTAAACTGACCCAAAACAGGTTATACTCAAATAATTTGGCCAAGAATTAGAGTCATTCCTAAAATAATTCTGATATAATTGATCCCAAAAGTTCTTTTTGTCAAATTGTACGATATATGAATTTATTAATGTACATTTCTTCAGCAAATTTATCAATATAATTAACAGTTACTTGATTCCGAGGGGCCAAAAAGAGTCTCATTTGATCTTGTGATTCAATTGCCTGTCAACTCGACTTGATACAGCTCTTCAGATCAAGTTACTGATGTACTAATATATATAAAATTGATAAGTTTGTACTACCAACCCAACCCATGTTTCTCTCTCTCAAAGTACATTTAATTAGTGTCCACTGCAGAGCAAGTGATAAATAATATTATATGTCCATTAATATTACAGACAGGGATATTAAGTCTTGGAGCATCAATATGTTAATGGTCAGATTGTCTTAATTTTATTTTTCAGATGTTAATGTTCAATCCTGGAATGGAATATATATGGTTCACATGTACCATAATTCTATCCAATGGGAATGTTTTCTGTATGTCATTAGTTTCTGACTTATCGGGCACAATCATACAGGGTTATAAATACCATTAATTAATTTTATACATTTAGAATATTTTAATTAGTACAATTATTCATAAGTAAAATTTTATACATTTAGAATATTTTTAATTAGTTCAATTATTCATAAGTAAATTGTACATGCATGCATATATTTGCATATTTACTCACAGAAGTTGTTTTTTTCCCTTCTTTTCAGGTCATGTAAGACACAGATGATTTAGTTTCTTGTCTACAGAATCATAGACATAAATGACAGAGATCCGCAACTGTTCGAAATCTCGCATGATCTTGCATTCCCTATTGTTTAATACTTCTTTTCAAATCTTTAAGTCACATAAAACTTTAAAATTATCAGGAATAACAGAGTAAAAAATTTTGATTTATGTTTACAAATTATTCAGGATGTTGTATTTTTGTTAGTTTCTTTATCTAAAACAATAACAAAGGAGAAATATGAAATTGCAATAGGTGACTTGTGGTTGGCCATATCGCTACCATTTTGCCGACTTTCTGTCATTGACCTCTTTATTTTTCCTAATTTGCTTTTAAAATCAATAAAACTTTACAAATCACACACAAAATATAACAGAATTAATATTAATTTAACTTTAGGTAGAAATACAAGACTAATAGAGTTATTGTTAGGATAATACCAGGATCATCACATATTTTAGTACTTAACAAACGTGATAATGGCAGAGTTGCGAATCTCTGTTATTTAATTATGTCTCTGACAGAATATATCTGTAATATTTTAATACTTTCAGAATTTTTTTTCGTCCTTTTTTTCAGGTCATGTTAGATACAAGTGATTTAGTATCTTGTCTACAGAATCTTTACAATGTAGAAAACATCAACATTTCACTGATTATTCTTGCCAACATATCTATGGGAGTAGAAGTGAATGTTTGTCACCCTACTGTAGCTACCTCACATTTCCCAGAAGTAAGTAGATTCATTTCAAATAGGCCATCTTTAAAAATTGTTTGTTTGCCCTCTCCCAACCAACTAAAAACTGGCCTGACTCAAACTTTTAAACCTCCAGGAAACAATATTTTTTTTTAATTTATCCATCCTGAAGTTTTCTCACCTATTAATAACTATTTAAACTTCATTTTCGTAAGTGGTTTTTTTTTTATTACAATTTTTTTTTCCCAATCCCGAGTTGGGATAGGGCAAGCATACAAACATTTTTTTTAAGATGCCTTTGGATTAAAATACTGTATGTGTACATAAATTGGCGTGTTCAAAAGAACTATATACGGTATGGGCGTATTCCTGCCCCCATAATAGTCAAATTTTGAAAATCTCTTGAAATGAGAAAAAGTGCATACATTGTATAAAATAATCCAAATTAAGACAATATATTATGAAATTGGAAAAATTAGTTGGCTTTTCTTGTCTCTGTGACGTCACAAACTATTTGGATTTCCGTTATTTTTAAAAAAAGAGGCCAAAATGCACAGAGTTTGTTCAATTTTGACTATAGTATTTATAGAGCGCAAGCTTGCTCATGTACCATATTCACATATTTCATTGATATTATCATTCTACACATTATATCAAAAGATCTAGTCTGAGCAGACTTGCGCTCGATAATTTCCAATCAAAATACCGACGTAAAATACACTATTTTCTCTCAAAATCATTGCAATTTGGAATTTACGTCATTTTATTGACGTCATATCTAACTAATGATGTCATAGTTGATAAAAATATTTAATGCTTTGAAGTCTACAAATATCCACCTGGTTTAGAACATAATTAAAGATTTCTCCATCAAAGTTTTATTTTGGGGGCAGATACTGGCCACTACAGAATATAGTCCTTTAGCGCAATCACTGGGTATGGAGTTGTTGGCAAAATCATGAATTAGCGCTATACATGTCCATGCCGTATATTGTATTTATAAATGATTTCTTAGCGGTATTTATGAATTTGCACATTGTTGTCTGCGTCAAAACCACTAAAATATGAAGCCCGCTTTTTAGCTCACCTGAGCCGAAGGCTCAAGTGAGCTTTTCTGATCACATTTTGTCTGTAGTCCGTCTGTCCGTCTGTCCGTCTGTCCGTCCGTCTGTCTGTAAACTTTTCACATTTTCGACTTCTTCTCAAGAACCACTGGGCCAATTTCAACCAAACTTGCCACAAAGTATCCTTGGGTGAAGGGGATTCAAGTTTGTTCAAATGAAGGGCCACGCCCTCTTTCAAGGGGAGATAATAAAGAATTAGTGAAAAATTGATAGCATCTTTTAAAAATCTTCTTCTCAAGAACCACAAAGCCAGGGAAGATGAAACTCATGTGGAAGCATCCTCAGGTAGTGTAGATTCAAGTTTGTTCAAATCATGACCCCCGGGGGTAGGGCGGGGCCACAATGGAGGATCAAAGTTTTACATAGAAATATATGGGGAAAAACCTTTAAAAATCTTCTTCTCAAGAACAGCAAAGCCATGATGAGTCATATTTATATGGAAGCATCCTCAGGTAGTGTAGATTCAAGTTTGTTCAAATCATGACCCCCGGGGGTAGGGCGGGGCCACAATGGAGGATCAAAGTTTTACATAGAAATATATGGGAAAAACCTTTAAAAATCTTCTTCTCAAGAACAGCAAAGCCATGATGAGTCATATTTAAATGGAATCATCCTCAGGTAGTGTAAATTCAAGTTTGTTCAAATCATGACCCCCGGGGGTAGGGCGGGGCCACAATGGAGGATCAACGTTTTACATAGAAATATATGGGAAAAACCTTTAAAAATCTTCTTCTCAAGAACAGCAAAGCCATGATGAGTCATATTTATATGGAAGCATCCTCAGGTAGTGTAGATTCAAGTTTGTTCAAATCATGACCCCCGGGGGTAGGGCGGGGCCACAATGGAGGATCAAAGTTTTACATAGAAATATATGGGGAAAAACCTTTAAAAATCTTCTTCTCAAGAACAGCAAAGCCATGATGAGTCATATTTATATGGAAGCATCCTCAGGTAGTGTAGATTCAAGTTTGTTCAAATCATGACCCCCGGGGGTAGGGCGGGGCCACAATGGAGGATCAAAGTTTTACATAGAAATATATGGGAAAAACCTTTAAAAATCTTCTTCTCAAGAACAGCAAAGCCATGATGAGTCATATTTAAATGGAATCATCCTCAGGTAGTGTAAATTCAAGTTTGTTCAAATCATGACCCCCGGGGGTAGGGCGGGGCCACAATGGAGGATCAACGTTTTACATAGAAATATATGGGAAAAACCTTTAAAAATCTTCTCCTCAAGAACAGCAAAGCCATGATGAGTCATATTTATATGGAAGCATCCTCAGGTAGTGTAGATTCAAGTTTGTTCAAATCATGACCCCCGGGGGTAGGGCGGGGCTACAATGGAGGATCAAAGTTTTACATAGAAATATATGGGAAAAATCTTTAAAAATCTTCTCCTCAAGAACAGCAAAGCCATGATGAGTCATATTTATATGGAAGCATCCTCAGGTAGTGTAGATTCAAGTTTGTTCAAATCATGACCCCTGGGGGTAGGGCGGGGCCCCAAAGGAGGATCAAAGTTTTACATAGAAATATATGGGAAAAACCTTTAAAAATCTTCTTCTCAAGAACAACAAAGCCATGATTGGTCATATTTATATGGAAGCATCCTCAGGTAGTGTAGATTCAAGTTTGTTCAAATCATGACCCCCGGGGGTAGGACGGGGCCACAATGGAGGATCAACGTTTTACATAGAAATATATAGGAAAAATCTTTAAAAATCTTCTTCTTAATAACAGCAAAGCCCTAATTGATCATATTGATATGGAAGCATCCTAAGGTAGTATAGATTTAAGTGTGTCCAAATCATGACCCCCGGGGGTAGGGTGGGGCCCCAAAGGAGGATAAAAGTTTTACATAGAGATATATAGGGAAAATCTTTAAAAATCTTCTTCTCAAGAACAGCAAAGCCCTGATTGATCATATTTATGTGGAAGTATACTCAGGTAGTGTAGATTCAAGTTTGTTCAAATGTTGCCCCCCTGGGGTTGGGTGGGGCCACAATGGAGGATCAAAGTCTGAAATAGAAATAGAAATATATAGGAAGATTTCTTCTGATGAAGAACTGCAAAGCCATGATTAGTCATTTTGATATGGAAGCATCATCAGGTAGTGTAAATTCAATTTTGTTCAAATGATGACCCCCGAGGGTAGGGTGGGGCCCAATAGGGGGATAGAAAATTTTACATAAGAACACATAGAAAAAATATTTCTTCTCAAGAACAGAAAAGCTATGTTTAGTCATATTGATATGGAAGCATCTTCAGGTAGTGTAGATTCAAGTTTGTTCAAATGATGACCCCCGAGAGTAGGACGGGGCCACAATGGAGGATCGAATGTAACATAAGAACATATAGAAAAAATATTTCTTCTCAAGAACAGAAAAGCTATGTTTAGTCATATTGATATGGAAGCATCCTCAGGTAGTGTAGATTCCAGTTTGTTCAAATGATGACCCCTGGGATAGGGAGGAGCCACAAGGGGGGATCAAATTTTTACAAAGGAATATATCAGAAAATTTTTTTAAAATCTTCTCAAGTACAACAAAGCCATTTGTTATTTTGACATGGAAGCATCATCAGGTAGTTTAAAATTCAAGCCCCCCCCCCCCCCCCCCGGAATCTTTTCAATACTGAACTGATTTGTGCTTTTGCCTATCCACTGTGCTCAGGTGAGCGATGTGGCCCATGGGCCTCTTGTTTAAGTACACATACAATACTTAGATAAAAATTGTAAGTATTGATCATTTATGGTGACTAATTGCAAGAAACCAAAATTTGATGACAAAATTTAAGCTAAAATACACTGATCTTGAATTTTTAATATCCCCTCACAATGAAGTCCATTCCCAATTATCTAACTGCAAGCCCTAGCTACCTGGACCAAAGAGCAAGAGCCACTTAGGGCCTTTTTTGGCCTTGTGAAAATTCAAAACTTTATAGTTTTGTTAACAAGGCAATAAATAAATGCTTGAGCACTTGGTGAATGAATATCTACTGAAAATGGCGTAATTTTCTTTCTAGTCAATGCATTATGACGTCATGATTTGCGTCATTATTCACGTATCCTGAATATTTCTTCAAAAATGGACAAAATATGATGCCATTTTTCAATATTTCATATATAGCACAACCTCCGATCCAAAATGTGTAAATATATTATAAAAGTACTTTTAATGAAGATTATAAAACATTTATATTTTAATTTTTGGATCGAGGGGTGTGCTCATATTTTAATTCTTTGCTGAAGGTTCTCAAAAACACCTGTTTTCTGCAAAATTCAATGACATTGCAATTTCACACAACATGTTTTTCAATGCCTGGACTCTTCAAAGGAAATTCTGTTGTATAAACTGAAAGCACTAAGTCTCTACTTTATATTAATGTTGAATATGGTACACGGGGTATTAGTCAATAAATTGGGATATCTACAGGGCCATTTTATGCATAAAGCGAACCTATAGCTCTTTGCATAAAAGTTGTATGTACCCTGGGTAGGGATGCACTCTGCTTGATTATTAGTTTAGTGGGCTTTGCCTTTCTCAAAGGTAACATTCAATGAGGTGAGATCTGTAATCTTTGATTACCTATGTTTATGTAACAGAATTATCATGACTTTTTTTGTCTTGTTATACTGATAGACATATATTATATGTAACAGGTATTTGACCTGTCTGTACTCCATGAATAAAAAAGGTTCTAACACATCTGGACATTATATATGTAACGGGTATTTGACCTGTCTGTACTCCATGAATAAAAAAGGTTATGACAGTTTATATTCATGAATGGTATGCCAAGCAAACCATATTGTAAGTTAGATGTCAACATAGGGAGATTCCTCCATGTGTTAATCTGAAACCTATACATGTGTGATGGACAATTAGCACCTTTGACCTATTAGGGATTTTCTTATCCTTTGATTCCAGGGGCCGGGGCCGTCAAGTTTGGGAAAAATAGCGATATTTGGTTGAAATTGGGAAAGATATTTTCATACAAATAAATGGGAAAAACAAGCAAAGTCAAATATTTAATCATTTTTAAAAATTATTTATAGTATGAAGCTGTCTATAATAAACCAGCTGTAGTGAATATGATGTAATAGTGGCTGTTGAAGTTCAGAACCTTAAAAATGGTAAAGCCACAGGATATGATAACATTGTAAATTAATGAACATATTTATACAACTTTAATGTTGTCATCTTTTTTAGCTTTATGTAAAAAGTTCTTTAAAAATATTGATAGTGGGTTTGTTCCAGATGAGTAGATAATCGGTATTGTTTGATCCATATATAAGAATAAGGTGACCCAACCCAGCCTGAAAATTACCGTCCTAGGCAAACTGGAGAGACTGACATGATGCACGTTTAATAACGATCCCGACTTAAATTTTAAACATCGATCCCGCTCTAAAAAGTACACATGCAAACATCCAAAGTATTTCAAATACCTTAATTCTTGGAACTCCTCGGATGGCTCATTCATCACACAAAGAGAACATAAGCACCTTTTTGTCATTCTTGAATATTTTTTTATTTTAATAATTTACAACTGACTTTTTTTCATATTGGGAATTTTAAGGTAAAATTTTGGGAAAAACATGCACATTTCAGCATTGGGAAATCCGAATGGGGCCGAATTTCGGCCCCAGAGAGACCCTAAAAAAATCCCTGCCTATAATCAAGGAAGGTTAATTATGAAATTAGACTGGTACTCCTAGTTTGTGACATTTTACCAGAAATGAGGTGAATGTCTAAATCATAATACAATGGTATTAGTATTAATTCATTAATTTTTTAAATAACAGTATTAGTTATAATTTTTTTTTTTTAACATTAGATAGTTATATACATGTAGCTACATACTTATCCTATCTGTGCCACATGGGAGATCCAAGAGACCAAAAATTCTCATGTTATATTGTCACAGTTGACTGTGAATTCTAAAGTAATTACCACAAATTAATATTTATTTAATAATCCTCATTAATTTGTAAAAAATAAAATAAAATAGTTCATTTTCTTCAATATACAGTCAAATTAGTTTAATGATTTTATATTTTAAGTCTTAATCTAGAGGTGAAGTATATAGGATTTATTTCTTTATCATATGACTCATAATTATTTATCATATATTAACAAACAATCACTACTTTTTCCTCTTCCTTTGATTTCATCATCAGGCTTATCATGTAAACTATGAAAAGTTGTATTTTAAAATTAATATAGTACTGTGAAATGTGAAACCACAATTTCTGCAGTTTGCAAATGGTTGAACATATCAAAGTTTGTGTGTTTAAATTATTTTAATCCTATGGACATTTTACATAAAATAAAGAAACTTTAACAGATTATGAATGACAGTGTGAGTCAGATATCGGATTTGAATGTCTGCTTATTATAAACTGATGTCCACATTACTTTATTGCAGTATTTTAGTTTTTGTGTGGTACTGTCCATGGTGTCCTGTGCTGTATTCGTCCACAATAGCAGCTTGATAAAGATGGTGCTGTTAAGTGTAATGTCCATTGTTTACCTGATTGTGGTAGAAATCTTCTTCATCACAGTGTTTGACAACAGGGATGTTCTAGTCCGAGCCAATGTTGGGTAAGTCAAGGTTCTGTTTAGCTCACCTGAGCCTTGTATCAGGTGAGCTGTTCTCAATTGTCCATCTGTCTGTTTCTTTAGCTCACCTGAGCCATGTCTCAGGTCAGCTGTTCTCAATTGTCCATCTATATGTTTCCTTAGCTCACCTGAGCCATATCTCAGGTGAGGTGTTCTCATTTGTCCATCTGTCTGTTGTTTATTTGTGTGGAATGTAGACTGCCACGATAAGGACCATTGTCCCTCTGCTCACTAATATAAAATATTGCTTTATTGCTTATCATTTATGACAGAAATGACTGTATAACTTGAAGGAATAATACCGTACTATTAAGAAATTTCTTGTGGGTGGAATTATTGACAATTTGACCCTTTAAAGGTATCAAATTCATTTCTGCTTATTTAAATTCTTGGGTTGCAATAATCATGCATAGTTATATCAGGCTTAAAACTATCTTGATGTCAGCCCCACTTGCCATGTTTGAGAATAAAAGATGTTGCATTTACATAATATCTGAATTAATATTATATGAAAAATATTTTGCAACTGCAAATTTTGTTCATTTTCTTAAAAATTCCACAAAAATTGGTCAACCACAGTAGTCATATGTACTATAATTATACAATTCTTGTTTTTTTTGCAGGAGAACCTTAAATGAGGAAGGTTCCTCCATTGACTTGAAGTGGGAGACCATTGTTCTGTTTATTGTGTTGACAATTATCCTGTCCATTCATGCTCAACAAGTGGAATCAACTGCCCGATTAGACTTTCTGTGGAAAATTCAGGTAAAATAGAAAAATTCTCAATGAACAGCAATCTGCCTGAAAAATGGATTAAAATATGTCAAGGTTTACAATTGTAATCAGATAAAAATTTCAACCCCTTTAGCAGCATTGTTTTTCATCTTTTAAAAGAATCAATTATTATAATGTATAAATAAATAATCTAAGTAAAGAATAATTTATACATGTCATACTACATTTCACAGGCAACTGAGGAAAAGGAAGAGATGGAGAGTTTACGAGCTTATAACCTGCGACTACTAGCTAATATTCTACCCCTTAATGTGGCAGAACATTTCCTTAAAACTCAGTTCAAAAAGGATGAGGCAAGTGTTTGATTGCACATTTTTACCTCTTCCATTAGATTTTACCGTTCACAGTAGCTCAGTCGGTAGAGCGCTTGCTTCGTGATCGGGAGGTCGTGAGTTCGAATCTCGGCCGCGACTGACCTAAGTCGATAAAAAATGGGTAGCAACTGTTCCTTCGCCATGCGCTTGGCACTTTGAAGTGAAAGTTGCGGGTCCTTCGGATGAGACCTTAAAAACCGAGGCCCCGTGTCATGGCAGGCGTTGGCACGATAAAGATCCCTCACTGCTCAATGGCCCTGAGTGCAGAGTAAAGGTCAAAATTTGAAGCCCTTCACCGGTATATGGTGACGTCTCTATATTAGTGAAAAATTCTCGAATGGGACGTAAAACAACATACAATCAATCAATCAATCCATTAGATTTTACACCTCTTCAAATGATGGATCTGCCATTTTCAGCTCACCTGAGCCAAAGGCTCAAGTGAGCTTTTCTGATTGAAATTTGTCCATTGTCCGTTATCGTCGTTGTCGCCATTGTAAACTTTTCACATTTTCATCTTCTTCTCAAGAACCACTGGGCCAATTTCAACCAAACTTGCCATGAAGTATCCTTGCGTAAAGGGAATTCAAGTTTGTTCAAATGAAGGGCCACACCTTCCAAGGGGAGATAATTACAAATTCATGAAAAATTAATGGCATCATTTAAAATTTATGTGGAAGCATCCTCAGGTAGTGTAGATTCAAGTTTGTTCAATTCATGACCCCTGGGGGTAGGGTGGGGCCATAGTGGGCAATCAAAATTTTACATAGGAATACATAGGGGAATTTTTTAAAAATCTTCTTCTCAAGAACAGCAAAGCCATGATTGGTCATATTTATATGGAAACATCCTCGGGTAGTGTAGATTTAAGTTTGTCCAAATCATGACCCCCAGGGTTAGGGCGGGCCACAATGGAGGATCAAAGTTTTACATAGGAATACATAGAGAAAATCTTTTAAAAAAAATTCTCAAGAACAACAAAGCAAATTATGGTCAAATTTTTCTCAAGTTTGATTCTGAAATTTGATGAAATTAGAAAAACCTATGACCATTCTGTTCACCTGAGTGGAAGGCTCAAGTGAGCATTTCTAATTAAAATTTCTGTATTGTTTGTATTTGTTGTCCTTATTGTAGTCCTCATTGGTGTTGTAAACTTTTCACAATTTCATCTTCTTTTCCAGAACCACTGGGCAAATTTCAACCAAACTTATTACCGAGCATCTTCAGATAAAGGGGATTCAAGTGTGTTTAAGAGAAGGGCCATGCCTTCTTTCAAGGGGAGATAATTAAGAATTGTGTAAATTTAATGGCATCTTCTAAAAATCTTCTTTGCAAGAACCAATGGACCAGTAAAGATGAAACGTATATTAAAGCTTGATTATATACATATTGTAGATTCAAGTTTGATCAATTCATGACCCCAGGGGTAGGGAGGGACTACAATAGGAGATCAAAGTTTTATATAGGAATTTGTGAGACATCTTTAAAATTCCTTGTCTTAGAAATAAGAAACTTATTATAACTCTTACTACATGCGTGGATCTAGAGGGGGGGTTGGGGGGGGGTCCGGACCCCCCCCCCCCCCCCCCCCCCCCCGGGAATTTGCAGAGTTATTAAATATATATACTGAAGCAAATAAAAAATGACTTTGGACCCCACTATCACTAAATAGGTATTTTTCACGTTTGGGAAATGGATTTATCCTTTTTTTTTTTGACTGGGGTGGACCCCCCTGGAAAAAATTTCTTGATCCATGCCTGTATTGATATGAAAGATTCAAGTTTGTTTAGGTCAGGGCCCTCAGGAATAGGTTGAGGCCACAATAGGGTATCAGAGTTTTAAAAAGAGAGTATATAAGAAAAAAATTTCAAGAGTAGCAACACCATGCTAAATAATATTGAAAAGTAATGCATATACCTAAGTTTTGTGGAATCCTTTTTTTTAATGAGCCCTGAGGTAAGGATTAGACTAAAATCAGAAATTCTAATTTACATAATGCATGTGTAGAGGGAAAAAAATCTTCTCCAGAATGTCTACTCATCATGTTGATTGTATTGATTCAGAAGCATTCCAATGTTGTGTGGATTCAATTTTAAATTAAATTATCATGATAGATCTCTTAGGACTAGATTTTGTCCACAAAACAGAGTAAAAAAAGGAATTGCAGTAAAAAAAAATTTAAATCTGCTGAGGAATGGATTTTAAGGCCAAAGTGACTCAGGTGAGCATTGTGGCCCATGAGCCTCTAGGAAGAATACACAATGCCGTATTTTTAGTGAGGATATGTATATATGTATTAGGTTTGATGGAGAGAGAGATTTCATAAAATTCTTTTTTTTTTGGCAAATATTTTCAAGTATTTAAGCTTTTTCTATGCTTTAAACAACATATTGCTTATGCATGCAAAGAGAATTGTGAATTTAACCACATGTGTCCATCTAAAGTACTGAAATATATATAGATTCCAACTCAGATTTCCTTAAACACACTATTGAATAAAACTTGCTATGTGAGTGACCCTTTGCAAACTCACAGTATGTAGTGGTTTAAGGATGATTAACTTTTCTGTTTAAATATATTTATTGAAATACTGAGTATGTAGTTTTAGAAATTAACGTATTAACTAACTTATCTTGTATATCTATTAAAATTTAGATTAAGTTTTAAATGTCAGCTGTGTTCATTGAAGCTTCTGCTGTGTACTGTGAAATCACTAATTTTCATGGGGGCTCAAAATGTAAATTTTAAAGGACAAGTGCACTTAAGCAATGCTTAATGGGCCCTTTTCAGTGCCGTATTACTTTAGAATATATTACCAAATTGTTCTTTTTTGGTAATAGTTAAACACAAGTGGATATTTCTAATTAAAATAACGTTAAAACATCACCTAAATCAGCTCGGATTTGAAACAAATGAAGATTTTTAAATGCCTATAGATATCCCAAATCTGGAAATGTCGTACCGAACCAATTTGAGTTTCGTTTATTTAAATCAAGGGGAGGAGACATTTAAATCAGACACTTGAACAATCTGATGGTGGATCATTGACGGGCGCGTTTGCTGAATGATACTGCTTGCGCTATTTTACCAGAGAAAAATATTGAATAAAGTTGCATAGATGCCTGTATAGCCATAGTGATCAAACTAAGAAATTTGCACGCTTGCATTTGAAATAATACAATAAGTATTAACATTAGTTCCTTTAAATTTTAAAATGAAAAAAGTGTATTTAGGTGGTTTTCAATACTGGTAGCATTGTCTTGCATGAATGTTAAAAATGTTCGATACTTTTATGTATGATGACATTTTAACGACACTAAACTCTCCTAACCCTCCCGTGTTCCTAAAACCAAATACATACAAACTTCTCAATGTGGCACGACTTCGATATAATGATACCAAACGTGAATTTACAGTGAGCACTTTTGTTTACATGGGTAGAACTCAGGTGACTACCGGTATTTTAAATAATTTATTCCCCGGGTGGGTTCAACATAGGTCATACAGGTAAATAGCTTTCGCTTGCTATAGGAAAAACATTGAACTTTTCATACATTTTTAATATTTCAAGTACAAACCTAATCTTGTACAAATTTCCTACTTTCACACAAGTTTTATAAATGTATAATGTGCTTTTTGTCCAGGGTTGGCAAAAAACTGGGAAATACTCATATTTTCCAGGACGGTGGGAAATACTGGTAATTACCGGGAATTACTGGTATTTCCCGGGAAATACAGGGAAATAAGAAATAGCTACATATTTCATTCATATTGACATGTAGTACACCTTACTGGCTAAGATATCTACCTGGTATCACAGTCCCTTATTTGAAAAATTCCAAGTAATTCATTTTATATAATTATAAAACAGTATATTCATATACCAGTCATGAGTGTCATTTGTTATGCCCCACCATGAATATGGCCGGGGCATATAGTGTTTGTCATGTCCGTCTTCCGTCCTTCTGTCCTTCCGTCCTTCTGTCCTTCCGTCCTTCCGTCTGTCCTTCCGTCACACTTTGCGTTTAGCTCTGTTCAAAGCTCAGTTTCAAAGAAACTATCCAAGATATTTTTATCTTCATATGCTGATAGATATTGATGAGAGCTATGCAACTGCATCAACTTTTTTTGATCTTGACCTTTCTTTTGACCTTGACCTCACTTTTCTTAAATTAGTGTTTAGCTCAGTTTTAAAGATACCATTCAAGATAGTGTTATCAAACTTCAAATGCTGATACATACTGATGAGAACTATTCAACTGCATCAACATGTTTTGACCTTGACCTTTCCTTTGACCTTGACCTCACTTTTCTTAAATTAGTGTTTAACTCAGTTTTAAAGATACCATTCAAGATAGTGTAATCAAACTTCATATGTTGATACATACTGATGTAAGCTATTCAACAGTATCAACATTTTTTGACCTTGACCTTTCTTTTGACCTTGACCTCACTTTTCTTAAATTAGTGTTTAGCTCAGTTTAGAAGATACCATTCAAGATAGTGTTATCAAACATCAAATGCTGATACATACTGATGAGAACTATTCAACTGCATCAACAATTTTTGACCTTGACCTTTCCTTTGACCTTGACCTCACTTTTCTTAAATTAGTGTCAAACTTCATATGCTGATACATACTGATGAGAGCTATTCAACTGCATCAATATTTTTTAACCTTGACCTTTCTTTTGACCTTGACCTCACTTTTTTTAAATTAGTGTTTAGCTCAGTTTTTAAGAAACCATTCAAAATATTTTTATCAAACTTCATATGCTGATACATACTGATGTAAGCTATTCAACTGCATCAATATTTTTTCACCTTGACCTTTCCTTTGACCTTGACCTCACTTTTCTCAATTTGTGTTAAAATATTGCATTACTAATAAACCCTCGGCAGGGCATTCATGTCCTATGGACATATTTCTAGTTTTATGCTTGAGTCAGATAAAGGTCCATGAAAGGAACCCAAACATCCCAATAGATTTTTTTTTATGTAACTAAGGATCTAAGAAAATTCTTAAGTGTAGAGTATGGTATAAATATCAAAGCTAAGAAGAAGCCTTTCGGTTCCTCTCAGGTAATTATATCTCAAAACAGGAGCACAAAACTGTCCCAAGCAATTTGTTAAAACAACATGATTGATTGTAATAACTATGGTGTTAATAGAAGGATCAAAACGAGTCTGTTTTGTTCTTGGATTTATAATTGATAAGCTTAATAATTTTACAAAACTGAAAAGAAACTTGAATTGGAAAACTTCAGTTTTATACAGCCAGGGAAATGTTTCAGAATGCTTATGGGTATGGAACTGGAGTAGTGATACACTTTGAATATGTTAAATTGCAATTTAAGACATATTCAATATTGTTCATTTTCTATTTTTGTGTTTATTTTATTTTTGAATTTTGTATAAGATTGAGTGAATTAAGGCAATAAAAAACTTTTAAATTTTTAAATCCCAGTTTAGAGAAAATTTGTAGCATTTCCCAGGATGGGAAATACCGGTATTTACCACTGGTAATTCCCACCACTGGTATTTCCCGACCAACCCTGTTTTTGTCATTTGCACAAGTTTGTACAACGTTAGGCTGACAGTAAACAAAGGCTTTGAAATGAATGCCCTACCCCGATTTACTATAGAAAAACACAAATGTCGGCTGACCCCTACCACATTGTATGGCTTTGCTCTTTATATATTCATGAATTTCAGCGATAAAATTTGTTGAGAATCTTATGGTTTAGATATCAATTAATTATCTGAGATGAAAAATTATGCTTTATTTGATTCTTCATTTTTTCACATTTTACCGGAGCCCTTAAGTGCACTCGTTCTTTTAATTTTAATTTAAAATTCAATTTTATATGACAACTAGACACTTCAACCGCGAAATTTAATCCCCAGAACCCATTCTTCATCAAACCACGAAAATTTGACCCCTCGAATATATGTGATTTCACAGTTTTCAGACTTGAAAATGTTAACAAACATCTTACACTGTAGGAGATGTATTATCAGGACTGCGACAATGCCTGTATCATGTTCGCATCAATCTCCAATTTCTCCGAATTCTACATGGAACTGGAAGCTAATAATGAGGGAGTCGAGTGCCTTCGTTTGCTGAATGAAATCATTGCTGATTATGATGAGGTAGATATCCTTTAAATTACTTGAAGTATATAATCTAATAATATATTAAAATCATAAAAATATGTGATAATCAATTTGAAGCTTAATTATCAGAGCTTTTGTTTTAGTCTTTGTAAGCAACAACTTAAAGTTGAGTTTATCTTACCCTTAACGTCTAGATATATGAAAATTTAATAGGGCTCATAATTAAATGATACTGTTCTGGAATTCATTACATCATTGCAACTAAAATACTACGCTTATATCAAGTAGATTCTGAATAATGTGTACAGCATATAAATTATATAATGTGTATATATTCCAATAGATGTTTACAGTGTATAAATTATTTTATGAATATTTTGTTCCTTTGGAAACAGATTCTTGGACAGGAGAGATTCCGATGTATAGAAAAGATCAAAACCATAGGATATACCTACATGGGAGCTTCAGGTCTGACCCCTGAGACAAACTACTCGGACATGAGTCATGTGGTAGCCATGGCAGAGTTTGCCTTCTCCATTAAAGATCTGCTTCAAAATGTCAACCAACACTCATTTAATAACTTTAAGATGAGAGTAGGTGAGTTGTATTGCACTAAGGACTACTGAGTTTTTATCTTTTTTCATTGAACCCAAATTCTTTTGTTATTTTTGTGGTTGAGTGAAATTATGAAATTAAGTGATAAATGAACAACAAATTTGACTAATTATGGAATAGGATGAGTTACATATAGCTGTCCATGGATTAACATAATTATCAAAGAAACTTTTCATTGGCCAAATCGCCATGAATATTGGTGTAACCACAGTATTTAATCTGTCAGAATTATCTATTCAAGAGTCAATTCAAAGGAATTAAAAGCATTTTCTTCAAATTAGGTTCAGAATCTTAAAGGCAAGTAGAAAACAAAATTATATACCTAAAATGGGTCAGACTTTGGCTTTCCTTAAAACATATATGAAATATGAATTCTTCCACACTCCACACAGTAACAGTGTGAACAGAGGAAAAGAGAGAGAATTAGAATTAAATATGAACTATCTATCTTCTGCAGGTATGAATGTGGGTCCTGTAGTGGCGGGGGTCATTGGAGCACGGAAACCTCATTATGATATCTGGGGCAACAGTGTGAACGTGGCCAGCAGGATGGACAGTACAGGAGTACCAGATTATATACAGGTGGGTACCATCTTATGTACACTTGTCATTTGACCATAAATATGTTGGACAGACAGTGTAACTATGCACGTGTTTTGAATGATTTAAAGTTGTTTCTCAATGTTATTTGATGAACAGATGCATTTTGCAACTCAATGTAGTGTTATATATAATATACAATGTACATGTTTATCTTTGTGTATTTCTCATCAAAAGCGAACAGTTTAGCAAATATTAAGTGTATAATTTGATAATGTGCAAATGTAAACTTTCATCAACATGTATATAAAGAACCATTGAGTCGCCCTTTCTCGAATTCATGACTTCATTGAGAGGGCAAATCTTATAAAAATAAACACTGTTCGATCACGTCAAAGACGCATTGACTTGTAACATCCAGTTGCCTTTGATGTAAGCTGGGAAAGTTAAAATTGTATAACAATACTGATACTTTATTTTGTAGGTGACCAGTGAGGTCTATAACATTCTATCTGTCAAAGGTTACACCCTTCAGTGTAGAGGAATGGTCAAGGTCAAAGGTAAAGGGGACATGCTGACCTACTTTTTGACAGGGCGACCTCAACCACCACTAACTTCAATTCAGGAAACTGTTTCACAGACTAAATTAAACAATGAAAGGTCATAGGGTTAACAGAATATGTTTTAGTGTAAAAATTCATTCATTCATTTCTCTACAAGAAAACGGGGACAAAGAATTCCAGCGGAGTGATGATGGTGAATCAACTTGTTCAAATTACCATGGTGATGCTATACATATAGCATAGGAATAAATATTTTCATACTGAGAGGTGATAGCCAATTGCAACTCAAGTTTAATATTGAGGGAAGACATATAATTAAGCTACAGGTTAGACCATTTTAAGAGGGAGGGGTGGGAAGCAGACATTCTGAGCATATGAAAGTTGATCTTTTTTATGTGATGGATGTGGTAACTGCATCCAGATATCTGCATGATGAAACCACAGCAAGTGAACATAATCTGTAATATGTTATTGTCCTGTTTAAGTGTCCTTTGTTGCTTTAAGTTTTATTTAAACGCCACAGTTACATGCACTTCATTCATGTGTTGAAAAATGAGCTATACATTATTATATGTCATTTGTTATTCTTTGATATCAAAAACAGTTTTTTTAATGTTATGATAGATAATTCAGAACAGTTAAACTGTTGCCTCTGATGTTTTTGTTGTCTTCAAGTTGATTTTTGTAATTTGTTATGACTGTGGCTGTGCAATAAATGCTCCTTGCAAAAGGACACAAAAAAAGAATCTGAAAATGGGTTTTTAAAGGATAACATTTATAGAATTCTAAACAATTTCAAAGTTACAAAGTTTAGAGAGATAACAACATTTTGTGTACAATATAATATATTAAAAATTTATTTATTAATAGGTATACATATGTGTAAAAAAAAATTGGGTTTGTTCTGTGATAAACTGTGTTATGTATTTATTAACCTAATATACCGTACTTGGACTATAACATGTTTATCATTTAGCTACCTGTGCCAAAGGCTAAAGGGAGCTTTTCTGATCAGAAAGTGTCCAGCGTCCATCTTTCTATCTGTCATGTGAACTATTCACATTTTCGGGTCTTCTCCAGAACCACTGGTCCAATTTTAATCACACATACTTACTACAAAGCAGCCTTGGGTGATTTGTATTCATTAATTTGTTCAAAGAATTAACTTAAGGGGTAACATACTTTTTCAAAGGGAGCTTATTAACTAGAATCCATGATAATTTAATTGCAACTTTCAAAATTCTTTTTCTTAAGAACACTAGGTCAAGTTATGTGAAAGGTTCATTACATACTGTAAATTCATTGAAATCATGAACCCCTCAGGGTAGGATTGGGCCACAATAGATGAACAAAATTTTTACACTGGAATACAGGAAATAAAAAAAAAATCTTTAAAATTCTTCTCAGGAACAGCAAACTCATGATTAGTCATAAGAGTATATGAATATGAAACATCCTCAGAATAGTACAGATTCAAGTTTGTTAAATCATCACCACTGGGGGTACAGTGGGGCCACAATAGGGGATGAAAGTTTTACATAATATATAGGAATCAAAGAACAAGGTACGGTTTCAGTACAAATCTTGCCCTGTGTTTTTCTTGAAAATGAAAGTGATGTAAAAAATTAAAACTCATGCTTTCTGAATCATTAAAATTCCACGCAGAAAGATCTTGCTAAATAAATCATTTTTCTCACATGACCTTCTAAATGCTAATTGTGACGTCATAAACGTGTATTTTCCCGTATTTTCTTAAAAAGTTGCAGAAGACACCAATTTTCCATGGAAATTTCTTTCAGATAATATTGTCCACAGGCATTGCCCACAAAGATTTTGAGATATGTGATTTTTCAAAGAATTTTACACAACATATCCGAAATTTTTTGTGGGCGATGGCTGTGGACATTATTTTCTTAAGGAAAATAACCCTTGAAATGGGTCATTTTGAGGCTTTTTCTGTTTAGAATAGAGAAATGCATCAAATTAATGACGTCATATTTCCAGAATGGTACTCCTTCATGCCATATTCTTTCCTGATTTATCACATTCATATACTCTTTTAATATTTAAGCCAGTTTCAAAACTTTTTGAAGACATAAAATTTTTAGGGCAAAATAAAGTTAAAAGTGTACCTTCTTCTAAATTTTTCTTTTCAAGAACAGCAAAGTCCTGATCATGCAGTCATAATAATATGAAAGCATCCTCAGGTAGTGCAGATTGAATTTTAGTGTATAATCATGACCTCCAGGGGTAGGGTGTGGCCACAATTGGCCATCAAAGTCTTGCATGACATATATTCATTTGGAAAAAAATCTCAAGAACAGGAAAGCCATGGTTAGTCAATTCCTATGGAAGAATCTGCAGATGGTGCTAATTCAAGTCTCTTTTTCAAATCATGACAACCCCTAGGAACAGGGTGGGGCCACCTCCAGGGGTAGGGTGTGGCCACAATTGGCCATCAAAGTCTTGCATGACATATATTCATTTGGAAAAAAATCTCAAGAACAGGAAAGCCATGGTTAGTCAATTCCTATGGAAGAATCTGCAGATGGTGCTAATTAATTCAAGTCTCTTTTTCAAATCATGACAACCCCTAGGAATAGGGTGGGGCCACAACTGAAAATCAAAGTTTTATATAGGAAAAATCTTGTCAAGAACAGTATAGCCATGATTAGTCATATTTATATGGAAACATCCTTAGATACTCTAGTGTAGATTATAGGTTGTTTAAATAGTGGCCCTAGATGTAGGATGGATTGACAGAGAAAATCAAATTTTTACATGGGAATGTTTATTGAAAAAAAAATCTGCTAATGAAGAACAGCAGGACCATAGTGACTCTGGTGAGTGTTGTTCTCATGGGCAATGATATGTACGCTGTGTATATTGATATTTAGCTATTCTGATTTTGTAAACCATGGATTTATCTAACCCTGTGTGATGGCTAGCACAATCATATTTGGGAGAATTAAGTTGTACAAATATACCGTCCATTTTGAATCAGAATTCGGTAGATTATTTATATTGAGTGCATGCTGCACTATAAATGCCTCTGCACTTTCATGGATTTACGTTTATATAAGGTTCATTTACATGTATATATATATGTAAAAAAAAAAAAAAAAAAAAACTGCTACCTGCAGATTTGTCCATTTCATTTTATAGGCATACAAGTATAAACTTATAATTTAGTCTATAATAATGATCTCATATGATAAGGCAATCAAGAATAAAATAATGTTACGTGAGTCAGTGATAAAATGCTTTGACTGAAGGACAAAAACAATCATTTACTATGTAGATCTCACTAGATTTTTATCATTCAAGTTGAAACTCTTTTATTTCACTCTTCTTTCTAAATGAGCACTTAGGGTTTTATCTATTGTTAAGAAATTGGGTTTTTTCAATGCATATGTAGTTACAGTTACTGCAGTCTGAAATATCTGACACTTTTCAGCGTTTTTCATGATTTTGATTTTTGACATGCAAGGAAAACGTCAGAACCAATGCCATTATGAAAAGTGGAAATTTGCCGCCTCCAATCAGAAGCGGCATTCTCGGGTGGATTTTCGATACATGGAAACCGAAGTAGATGTCAAACTCACATCTTGTCAATAGTACAATGCTTCTAGTATTTACTAATATCACTCTTATTATTCCTTTGTAGTATAAAGTGTCTGATGAAAACATTTTAACTGTCGAGGTTTGTTCTGATTTTATGCACTTTGAATTCTCATGAGACCTGTATCTAAAATTTTTTTAATTTGAAGTGGTATTTTTTTTTTTAAGCAGTATTGGTGAGAACTAGAAGCATTGTGCTTTTGGTAAGTTGTGAGTTTGACATTTAATTTGACTTGCAAGTATCGAAAAATTGATTCAGTTGGGGGTGGCGAAACTTCCACTTTTCATAATGGCACATGCAGTTTCTGACGTTTTCCTGGCACGTCAAATATCAAATTCATGAAAAACGCCTGGAAAATATCACATATTTCGGACAACAGTTACCATAGATTAAATGACATGTTTTAGCCCATGACCTTTTTTTTCAACTAAGTGCAATATGTACACAACTACCCTAACACATTTATATTAATTATCTCTCCTGAAATGAGTGGTTTATTTGCTTTGTCATTCAAGCTGTGAAACTCTTATAATACTTGTATTAAGTATTAATTTATTAATTCTGATTAATTACTATATTAAGTTTTACCGTTGATAATTTAATTTGAGGAATATCTGGCTTATTGGAAATTTTTTTTTTATGTATGTTAAATTTATAAAGGCAATATTTATGTAAGCTTTAAACCAATTTTTATTTATGAATCATTTTCTTGTACTATTTAAAGTGAATCTTTATTTTGCTTTAAAATTTGAGGGATATATGTGTTAATTAACTCATTAATCCACATACAAACTGTCCTGTAAACTCTTCTTCAAGTCTTTCAGAATTGTTGAATTTGATTGTTAGATTGATGTTGGTACAGTTGAACTTCAGTACATGTATCTTGACCACAAATAAAATTATCTCGAATACCATGGTCCCAACTTCTCTTTTTAGCTCACCTGAGCAGACGGCTTAAGTGAGCTTTTCTGATCACATTTTGTTCGGCGTCTGTCTGTCTGTAAACTTTTCACATTTTCGACATCTTCTTAAGAACCAGTGGACCAATTTCAACCAAACTTGCTCAAAAGTATCCTTGGGTGAAGGGGATTCAAGTTTGTTCAAATGAAGGGCCACTCCCTCTTTTAAGAGGAGATAATTAAGAAATAGTGAAAATTTGATGGCAACTTTTAAAAATCTTCTTCTCAAGAACCACTGGGCTAAAAAAGTTGAAACTTATGTGAAACCTTTTTTAGATAGTGTACATGTAGAATCAAGTTTGTTCAAATCATGACCCCAGGGGGTAGGGTGGGACCACAATGAATGTTAAAACTGATAAGAAAAGCCACATTTAGTCAAAGAAATATGTAAACATCCTTAGTGTAGATTCAAGTTTGTTAAAATCATACCCCCTCCTCCTTTTTGGGGTAGGTTGGGACCATTTAATAAGATTTTCAATGCTGAACTTTTTTTTTTGCTTTTTTCCTAGCCACAGTGCTCAGGTGAGTGATGTGGCCCATGGGCCTCTTGTTCTATATATTTTAACCTGGTTTATATCTCAAATCCTTAAATATTTCTTGGTCCCATCAAATTCAAGATAATGAGGTTTGACTGTATCTGGTATTTAACAATCACATGTATTGTCTTCTTGTATGTTATACATTACTTCTGTGAAGAATAAAGATCATTTGTTTTAATGTCCTTATATTTGTTATATTTATAGTGTAAAATTATTACATATACCTGTAACCAAAACTATTTCAAGATAACCTGATGTTGTCTGGCATATGTCTTGTAAACTTTGCACTAATTAAACATCTCTAACAAAAACACTATCAAGAATTTACACAATGTACTAGGAATTCCTGTGCTTTTGATAAGTTGCGGTGTCTGAAAAAAATTAATTCTCATTAGGGGGGAGGAATACGTATATTTCAGTAAAATTTAAGGTCTGTCAGGAAAGTGGAAACCAGCATATTTTTATTTTTTATCATAATTGATGTGTATTTATGTCCACTGAATAGCGCATCACTTTTGTTTCTTATGAAAACCACCATCAATCATCAATCCTTTAACACCGCTAAGAAAGCCACCTGTATAGATTTTTTTTAGCAGTGGCTCTTCCATAAATCATGAATGAAAGATACAATGATGTACGTGTTAATAACACAATATTTAACATACTTAATCCTACTTTATATGATCATTTAAACAAATATAAATGTCTGTCTTTCTTTCTTGGTTCTGGAATAAATGTTGCAGAAAAAATATGCAACCATCAAAAACAAGAGGCCCAGGGGCCACATCGCTCACCTGAGCACTCTGGCTAGGAAAAAGCAGAAATCAGTTGAGTCTTGAAAAGTTTTGATATAAAAGTGGTTCGAGGGGGGGGGGGGGGGGGGGTAATTTGAACTTGAATCTATCCTTCAAAGGGATGCTTTTGAATTAATATGACAAATAATGGCTATGCTGTTTATAGGAAGACAATTTTTGTTGATATATCATTTGTATTCCTTTGTAAAACTATGATCCCCTGTTATGGCCCCTCTATTCTCCTGGGGGGGGGGGGGGGGGGGTGTCATGATTTGAACAAAATTTGAATCTACATTACCTGAGGATGCTTGCATTTAAATATGACTAATTATTGCTTAGCTGTTCTTCTTCAGAAGATTTTAAAAGGCTTGCTTTTTCCTATGTATTCCTATGTAAAACTTTGATCGCCCATTGTGGCCCCACCCTACCCCTGGGGGGTCATGATTTAAACAAACTTGAATCTACACTTCCTGAGGATGCACCCATAAAAAAAAAACCAATCATGGCTTTGCTATTCTTGAGAAATAGATTTTCACAAATTTTTCCTATGTATTTTATGTAAAACTTTGATCACCCATTGTGGCTCCACCTTACCCCTGGGGGTCATGATTGGAACAAACTTGAACCTGCACTACTTGAGGATGCTTCCATGTAAATATGACCAATCATGGCTTTGTTGTTCTTGTAAAAGAGATCTTTACAGATTTTTCCTATGTATTCTTATTTAAAACTTGGATCGCCCATTGTGGCTCCACCCTACCCCCGGGGGTCATGATTGGAACAAACTTGAATCTACACTACCTGAGGATGCTTCCATATAAATATGATTAATCATGGCTTTGCTGTTCTTGAGAAGAAGATTTTTATAGAGTTTTCCTGTATATTCCTATGTTAAACATTGATCGCCCATTGTGGCCCCACCCTACCCCCGGGGGTCATGATTTGAACAAACTTGAATCTACACTATCTGAGGATGCTTCCATATAAATATGACCAATCATGGCTTTGCTGTTCTTAAGAAGAAGATTTTTAAAGAATTTTCCTACATATTCCTATGTAAAACTTTGATCGCCCATTGTGGCCCCACCCTACCCCCGGGGGTCATGATTTGAACAAACTTGAATCTACACTACCTGAGGATGCTTCCATATAAGTTTCATATTTTCAAGCACAGTGGTTCTTGAGAAGAAGATTTTTAAATGATGCCATTAATTTTTCATAAATTCATGATTAACTCCCCTTGGAAGAAGGCATGGCCCTTCATTTGAACAAACTTGAACCCCCTTCACCCAAAGATACTCTGTGCCAAGTTTGGTTGAAATTGGCCCAGTAGTTCTGGAGAAGAAGATGAAATTGTGAAAAGTTTACAACGACAACAACGCCGACGACAACGACGACAGACAACGGACAAATTTTGATCAGAAAAGCTCACTTGAGCCTTCGGCTCAGGTGAGCTAAAACGTTCTATGATGTTAGGATCCACTTCATGAAATTGCTGAGTTATATCAAGTTTTGAGAGAATGTTCCATACTCTGCACTGTTTTAAGCAGATACATGTATATTACCATGTATACTTTGATCTAAACATCAAAACCAGAATATTTCATACTCTTATATGTATTTTCTAAACTCTGCAATTACACATCTGTTCATGACAAGATTTTAGGACAATTATTGTCTACATCACAGATCAATAGAGATATCAGAGTCCACCGTTCATTCACTAGAGGGTAAAGGGACAGCACTCTTCTCTTTTTCTTCAGTTAAGGCCCTTGATGGATGTAAATGCACTGCATATGACACACCCTTCAAAAACAATAGATAATCTCACCCAAAGTGATTTTGCCAGCAAAGACACCTTGCCACAAAAAAAGGTATATATTAATTGATAGAAAGATCATATATGGAATCCTATACTTTTAGAGTTATCTCTCTTAGACCATTACCTGATGCTGTGCAGCTCTCACAAAGCTAGAGTTCGCCGTTACTGTCACTGCTTGGAGTTTATCACCTGTCCCGAATATCACCTACAACACAAGTGGCATTTGTATATCTTCCAAAGAAAAAAAGTAACTTAGACTGTAAACAAATTTTTATTCAATGATCGGTACATGAACCACAGAGAATATGAATCTACTCAGTAATCTGTCCTCATTTTTCACCACTGTAAATCATAAACACCAAATCCTAAACATTAGCAGTCATGAAGAAAGTTTTTGTGGCCCAGAATTTCATGGTGAGATTCACCTTAATTTGAATTTTGTGGATTTCTTTACATTAGCTTGACAGAGAGACAGTTTCTACATCTGGCTTTCTCTTACAACTGATGGAATCACTGTCATCCAGGCAGGAACACTAATACTATTAGGTGTTCACTTAAATCTTACCAGCTGTAGAAAATTTAATTATCTTGGATTAAACATCACAACCTAATTATACAAGTGTGATTGAAATTCAGTAACTCAGACATGTCAAATACCAATGGTAGGGGTGCATATGGTCTGAATGACATTATAAATTCGAAATTGAGAATCAAATTTAATTTTCCATCAAATTTTACAGATATTAAACTTCAAATGTACTGGTATGTACATGTATAATATAATCATGCATTATGGTAAAAGATAAGGCTGGCCTATACATGTAGGTATCAGGTGGGAATTTTGCATTGCAATAAACTGTGATATTTTTAACTGTATTGTGATTTGCATTGCAATATTTTCAATAACAGTTAAGATGACCTGCATTTATAAGCAGAATGTACAAAACTATGATAAAAACATTGTAACAAGAAATTTCTTATTGATTTAACTACAATTTTGCACTGAAATGCAACCGAACTGTTTGGCATGATTGAAAACATTTCTGACATATTTTAAATTTCATATTTTACTTTAGAAATCCCTAGTCCACGCATTTTTGCCAGTATATCTGTACTTAAAAAACATATTGCAATACAATATTTTTAGTCAATGAACCAGGATACACTGGAATATTATATTATTGTGCATCCCTAGTGAAAGACTTAAGGAATCACATGGGAATTAAGACTGAATATGTCTTTCCTTATATGACAATACTAACAAAAATTGGCATTCAATTTTGGTTCTCATGAACATGGTCACATATGATCAGACTTTCTTGCATAAGGAAAGCAAACCACAGAGACAACTGGAAGGTCTAGACTGTCATGTCAAATGACATCATACATACATGTACGTTATGTTGCATCTATAGCAAAGTCTAAATAATTTTTTTTCTTTTTAACGCAAATAAAAATTAAATAAAAATATGTATAAGAAATAAAATATTTTTTAGAGTTTCACTGCGATATGAAATTGTTATAGGATTTGTTTCTGTGACCGGGACTTCATGTCATATCCCAGTAAAACTCTAAAAATGATATCTTGCTGAAATGAATCACTTCCATTTATAGTGCTACTACTACGTCTTTGAAACAGTTCACCAAATCATCATGATTCTGTAACATATACTGGTAAAAGTGAAGCATATATACATGTATGCTAATGAGATCAGATATATTGGTTCATTATTTATCATAGGCGTCGGAACCGGGGGGGGGCTAGGGGGGCTTAGCCCCCCAACTTTTTTGCAAAGATAGACATAATATAGGCATTGAAAATTGGAGCTTACCTTTTTTCGTTGGTTTAGCCCCCCCCCCCCCCCCCCCCCCACTTTCAATTAGCCCCCCCACTTTCAATTTGCTTCCGACGCCTATGTTTATAATCACTGAATGTTAAATAAATTTACAAACTGTAGATTATGATTCACAATATTTGGAGCATTAATTCAAGTCATTGTCTTAGTGACATAATAAAATGACCTAAACTCCATTAATGTTATAGTATTTTTAGTTTTGAAAACCAATAACCATTTTAGACCTTACACCCCCTGTGCACTAACCTTTGACCTTTCTTTGATTTTAAGTGAATATGGCATCTGTGTTGTTCTGTCTGACGGATCGTCGTCCACAATGGTGACGCGAGAGAGTAGTTCTTTGGCACGTTCCTTTTCCTTTTGACCACCTAAAGTGTCCAGAATTGACTGAAAATCTTCCAGTGCTGTCCTACACACGTACATTGTCTTTCCTGGAAATACATAATTACAATTTGACACTGGTACCTAATATATCAGAGCTATAAACTTGACGTGGCTAACTGATAATTTTAAATCAGAAAATTTCTCTGTTTTTGTTCCGATTTCAAATCTGTTTTTATGCACAATACTCATACATATTCATGAACAGAACATATATCATTTAAAGGGGGCAAAAAAATGATACTATATTCCTTTTTGTCAAAAACCCTTGTTGTTTAATATCTGCAGTGTTTTTTCCTCTGTTAGAATGTACAAGTCTAAGAAACTTACATGATGTCAACCTGTAGTGAATCCTATCAAAATGTTCGAAAATTGAAAAATATACATGTACTAGGAGTATACAGGTTGCAAAACAATAATACTTGGCTGATCGTTTTCAATCTTAATTTAATATAAGATGCTTTAAAACAAAGCATCTTATGCAAAGTTTTAGCAATTGCAGAAAAGCAAAACAACAGGTTCAGTCATTAAAACATGCAGATTTCCTAGCCTTTTACTTTTATCATAATTTACCATAAAAGAAACAATAAAGACTCTAAAGCAGAGAGTATAATGATGTGCTGCCCTTTCAAACTGACATCATTAATGTACATGTAGTTTGAAACCTCAAAGACACGGCAAATATTGGGCCAAGTTTCTGCATGTACGACCATTCAGTTAGGCATAAAATGGTACTTAACTGAACATAACTCACATCAGACAGTTCTTGGAGTATAAGATGTTATTTCACTTCCTGGTTTACTCTGAAATGGATGCAAGCTATTGGACTTAACTATATGTTATCTGAAGGTCACTTAACAATGTAGGAGAATCAATGAAACTCTGAGAAAGTGAGAATGATGTTTCTCAGAATTGAAGGCTTTTCTGAAGACATGTTCAAATACTGTCTATGGACCAAAAAAACTCTATACATATGCATACATGTTTTCTTTGTTCTGTTATGTAGAACAGCATTCTTTTCTGTCTCTCTGTCAATAGGAAGCATAAGCAAGATGGTTGATAACCACACTAAAGCTTGAAAAATGCCAGCTTCTTTTCCTCTCAAATTTTGAAAGGATTTTTTTCTCTCTCAAGGACACAATATTGATCTCTACTGAAAAGTGAAGAAATTTTACAGATGATCACCATCACAGAGCTAAAGCAATTATAGAGAGCCTTCCAAGGTAATCTTATTTCATCCCTCGATAAAAGTTGGGGTTTTTTTTTTGTTTTTTTGGTTTTTTTTTTAAACATGCATTGCATATATCTCATTTTCCATGTACAGTTACTACACACTTTACAATTTCATGATTTTTTTTAACTTCATCACAAGCACTAGTGTTAAATTCTATTTCTGATTAATGAAGATTTTTTTTTTATTTATATACATTTAACCACTTTTTACAGATTTTAGATATCAATGTATTCAAGAAAAATGAAAGTGTCAAAAAAAAAAAAAGCAGTAGAACTTAGCCAACAATTACTGTAAATAAACATTCCAAACTTTAAAGCAGGCATTAAAGTCCTCAGAACAATTCATTTTCAAAACAATGTTGTGTTGTGTTTTGATACTGTTTTACATCATGATTTATTTACAAATTGAATCACTAACACAAAACTGCCTATTTATTCCTCAAACAAGATATCATCACCATCATTAAGAAAAGGCCTGTGTTATAAAATGGAATTACATTGATTATAAACTCAAATGATACTATACCTTTGATTTTTTTATTTGGCTTAAGTATCACTCTAAGGTCCTTACGATGTGATAATATTTACGTAAGGTAAATATTAAACACCTCTACATGATAAAGTAAAGACACTTGGTAACAATTTCTGGTACAATTATAATGATTATCAGAAATCAACACAGCACAACTAACTTATGTTGACAGCAAGAACCCCTTAATTGAACATTAATAAATACCTAGTACGACCAGGATTATAAGTAATTATGATAGACTAAGTGAAGAAAATGGCTGTAAATCTATATCTGGAGTCAGCATTCAAGTAATTCTGGGTAAGAAGTGTAAATATTAGCTCCATCATATTTGTACAGTAAAACTTGTCTAATCAGGTGTTGTGTATTCTGAAATCTTGTCTATTTATTACAAAGTAAACTTTAAGTCTGTTTTCTATAAATAAATTCGAATGTTGTCTAATCGGATCAATATTTATGGAAGAAATGGTTTCCAAAAGAGCCTCATCTTATCACCAAAACCTCTGACCAAAGGGGCCAAGAATTTCACAATTACGGTAGAGGCACCAATGCTCATCATAACCATGCACTTTGTTTGCCTATGACCCAGGTACAAACGTAAAATGCTTTGAATCCTTATAATTGTGGCCTCATCCTGGCCTAGGAGACCTTGACTTGAACACTTTTAAATGGACACTATATGGTGGCACATTTTGTTTTCTTTGACCTGACTGAAGCCCTGTTGCAATTGTTATTACCCATATGAAGAAACTTTGTTATTACAATCTAAATCTGCTACTTCCTATTTCTGTCCCATCTTAATTATAAAGCTGCTGTGATCATCCAGAAGAACAAGTTTGTGTCTACACTACTTGGGAATTCATAATAGTACAACTGTCATCATTCAGTTAATTAGAGGGAAAATATTCCAAGATATTCACCTACATCATGATGAGTAAAACTCTGATCCCCTACTGTAACCTCCCCTTTACCCCTGGGGCTATTATTTGGAAAAACAATCCCCTATTGTGCATCATATAATTCTAGCCTTACGATAAAATCACTGTGTGTGTACTTGAAAAAGCAGGCTTTATATTTTATCAGCTATTTGGCACAGAACAAGGATAGGCTGATTCTTGAATATTGTTTATAAATCAGTGGTGAATAAAATACATGGTGTCACCATCCATACTCAAGTAAATTTTGAATACACCAATTTATGTACATTTGTACAGGTACACTTTAAAACAGATTTGTATGTACACTAAATGCGGATGCTTGCATATGTTTGACAATTTGTAGCCTTCAAGAAATAGGTTCGAGCCCTGCCCTGTCATACCTCTCTATATGTATTTACCTTCACATCCTTATTGATAAGCATATGAGAGATTGACCATGGGTTTCTGACGATGCCTGGTGTGGATCGAGGCTAAATTTTAATAAATGTTCAAAAACCAACTTGGACTGAGAAAATTCTCTGCAGAAAATAAGAGAGGTTGAACAATATTATTTACCTTGCAGAAATGTCCTTAGTTTTGGTAAGACTGGCTCCTGTCTTTCTTCTGTAGCTTGTTGAGCCAGAATTTTCTCTGGAAACTCAAACTGGCAGCCTCCATGAGTTACAGAGGACACCAGCGTAATCAAAGTTGTGATATCCAGGTTGACTTTTTCAGAATCATTACCCTTTGCGCAGTGTGTTAAACAATCAAACCTTGGCAAACACGATATTAAAGAGTCTATTAAATTCATTTCAGAAAATAAAGTGTCATTCTTGGAAAGTCTAGAGGTACTTGTGGTAATATCACAGTTCAAATCAGCTGAAGGTCCTATTGAAAATCTGTCTCCTTCAAATCTTCCTTCAGTGTGTGAGGAAAAGTCATCTTGATTTACATCTGAATCATCATCGCCACTGATATCGTTATCAGGACAGGGTTCATCTTCACTGTCTTCATCTGAAGAAAGACACGCCATGTTGATCTGGTTGGCTGTTCCTTCATCAACAGGTACCCTGTCACCTGACACAGAAACCCCCAACTTCTCCAGGCAAGCTGCCATTTGTATCGTCACCTGAAAGTAGACAAAATATGATTGCAAAACTCATCATCCCATTCTAAAACCTTTTTTTTTTTTTAAAAAAATAAAAGATTGGTGAAGATGTTCAAGGAATGAAGAAATTAGAACTCCAAGCAGAACCAAATGCATCAGGCTGATACCCATTTCCATTGATCTTATGAGGTTGTGATAAAAAAATTTAACATTTGAATTGAAAGAAAGAGTTCTGTTAAAACATAAGGGACAAGACATACCTGATTATAAAAAGCAAAGTGGACTTTGGGTTTCTGGAAGTTGACTGGATGGTGAGCAGCACAGCGTAGATAATCCTTGGCTTGTCTGACCAGATCTCTCTCTCCAAACTGTCCTCTTCCTGTCATACAAAAATAACCAATCATACTTTTTTTTATGACAGGTTTTCCTCATCAAATTATTCTCTTCTTATAACCCCCCCCCCCCCCACACACACACAAGTTTCATTGAAAATAATATATTAAAGAACAATTTTGGCAAGCCTAGGTTTTGTGGGGATGGTAGTGGACCCAAAGCCCTCGGATTCCAAGATGATAAAAGAAAAAAATGTTACATAATGATTAATTTTTTTATTTTATTTATTAATACTCAGATGATTTTTAAAAACTCTATAATTGAATGGTTGAATTTGATCAAACTAAATGGGAAACTGAGTAAGTTATACATTCTCCAAAATAACTTAATTAATTTCAACCATTTAACTTTGAAACTTCCCGTAATAATTATATATTAAGAACTCAGTCTCAAAATTATAAATCAATTCATATGAATTAGGTTAAATAATATGGTAAATACATTAAACAGGTGGAAAATAATTTAGCAGTACATTGTTTCTGGAAATATAGCCATCCTGACTCTGAGCTTGATCTGATGTAAAAGCTAAAGATAATGAGCACTGATCTGATGCAACCTCATAATTTGATAATTCCAGTATCATAATACATAGAGGATATTTTATGTTTTGTTTTTGGATATGGAATTTACTGCTCAAGTGGGACAGGATTTTTTTATATTTTCACAAGTGCGAAGCACGAGTGAAAATATCAAAAAATCCTGTCCCACTCGAGATGTAAATTCCATATCCAAAAACAAAACATTGAACATTTTCTTTGATTTTCCTTTCGCCTCTGTCTTAACACAATGTTTTAGGCTGTGATGTCATAGTTGAGCGGTTGAGACATCATAGCTTATCAACTGCTGGGTTGAAAACATTGTAACATGGATTTTAGTAATATATTTGGGAGGAAATTTACAGTTTTAGTCTCTATCAAAATGGTTTAGTTACTATCTCCATTTTATGACAGGCCAGAAATCATTTTTACTTCACCAGTATATGGTGACATCTCTATATCAGTGAAAAATTCATGAATGGGAAGAGAAACAACAATCAATCAATCAATCAGAATTCCTTTTTTACCTGACCTCTGACCTAGAAACTTGATTCAGGGTCACTGCACATTCTTTGCCCACATACACTCTCTAGGTGAAGCTCTAGTCCAAGGAACAACAGGACAGAGAATATGCTCCACACAAAGATTTCACACAAAGACACATTTTGACCATGGCTTTTGATATTTTTTACTTTGGTTCAATGTCATTGCACTCCCTTTATGACCCATAAGCACTCTATGGGCGAAGTTTGAACTTAATTTGGGCAAGTGGAAATAAATATTCTCTAGACAAAGTACTGATATTTAACTGATTAGTTCTCACTCAAGTCTTTGATTTGGGGATAAAATACAGTCCTTCTCTAATCAATTACAACTACATCAGTCCTAGAGTTACTGTGTTCTTACTGTGTTTTTATTATTATGGAATAAAGTCCACAGTTTTATGTTCTGTACTTTACGAAGATCAGTGACAAAAGGAAAATCCCAATCAAGTTCCATTTCCTGTGTTAATTATCATCTTGTTAATGTTCCAACTGTACTAATTCTGTACTGAGTGTTCTATTGCCCAACATACATATAAACGAGAGATCGATAACCCCCCAGAAAAATCCTACGATTTACACTTTTCCTCCTGATTGATTGGATTTGGTGTCCTTTACATCATTTTACAGAAATAATGTTCACTCCTTTAAAGGTTGAACATTGACTTTACATGTTGTGTTAAAAAAAATTCAATCTATACAATCATTATTTGACACTTTCCTTTTTTATGCCCCTGGTCCACCATGAAATGAGGCATATCAAGTGTTGTCCCTTTTTTGTCCATCGATCATTCCATCATTTCTCTGGAGTTTCTTTGGCCATGCTTATTATAAGATAACAAGTTTATGTTTGGTATATATCTCTTTAATTCATCATTGCTGCAGTTCAAAAACCTCGTAAGTTGAAAAATGTGTAAAATGTGGGGTTTTTTCCATTTTAGAATAATTAAATTTTGGTTGTAATGCATCACTTGATTGGATAAAAAAATTAGTTAAAATATATTGTATAACCTATGCTGCCTACATATCACAATGACTTAATTATGTCAAAAACGTATCAATCCGCTGAGCCTTCACATTACATTTAAATTATGTACAATTTGAAGACAATTTTGAAGAATAAATTGTCTTATTTTCAACACTTAATGATGGAAAATTAAATTATAAGGAATAAATTTACTAGTTACCCAAGTTATACTGGTATAACCTGTGTCAGAACAGTCCACGCTTTTTTATAAAGCGTAAACTGCCCCAACCCAGGTTTTACAGTATGACTTGGGTAGCTATTAAAATCATTCCTTATATAAATAACTGAGGATATAAGAACTCTAAAAAAAATCATACCTCTACCCCAGCCATAAGTCTAGAAATTAAGCTTGTGACAAAACCAGTCATATAATAATTGGTTACATGTTCTTTTCCCAAAATGTAAAAAATACTATACACAAACAATCGAAACATGTGGACGAAGATCATTTAAAATATAGGTAAAGCATATTTTATGAAATAAAATATATAATGATGTATTTAAAATGCTTCTTTTGATGATTTAATGATAAAAACAAAGTATCAAAATGCATGATTGTGGAAATTAAGTTTTATTCCATGCCCTGTACATTCATGTATTTTGACTTCCAGTCTTCTTAAATGATTGAAAAAAAATCATATCTTTGAAAAGTTCAAAAATAATAAATTTTATTGCTGTTATTATGTCTCATAAAGCCCCGAAGGATCAAAAATCAAAGTATATTTCACTAGCATTCGTTATTCCAGAACATAAGAATTACACTTTGTACTGGAATGCCAGGATGAGAATATGACAAACTTATGAATATTGATTTTGACAGAGGAAATTCAGATAATGGTGCTGCTTCTTGAATGACGGGAAATGCCAAATGATGTGACATCCCATAAAATATCGACTGTAGGCCAGGATTCATTTTTACTAAATCAGACATTTATGAATTTAGAATCACTACTTAATTTGTCATCAAAATGCCAAAGGCAAATCACTTGATCATTATTCCCCAACTCATGGTTGAACTTCTAAGATGAAAATTGTCAGAAAATCAGAAATCAATTCTGATCAAATTTAGGCTAAATAGCCTTAATTATCTGTAGGATCGGTGTCACTCTGATGGGGATGATTAGTTTGAAATCAGAAAGACCATGTGTCAAGCCTGATGCATGAGTTTGTAAACATGCAGCACTTCATAATTAATTAAAGAAACACTTTTTTTTTCAGATATGGTGTTACAGAATGACTTATATTGTACAAGTTGTTAAAATATCGGGCTTCGGTCAAATTAATCTTTGATTTTTTAAAACCAATATCAGATGATCGTAACAAATGATTTATATAAATACTACACTATAATCATGATGAGCAGACAATATCACTGTCACAGCAAATTACTATTCTTTATTTGTGTGTATGTGTTAAATTAAAAAAACGCATCCACAAGGGAAAAAACCCTCAAGTTTGATGCCCATTTTCTTAGATTACTCTATGTTATAATCCCTGTTTAACGTGATATACCACCATCATTTTCCGTCTTTAACTGAGTTTGATTTCCAAATTTTGCAACTGTCAGGGGTGCTTTCCATAAGATTAAGTTTTAGTCCGTTCCTCCCAGGATTTGCAGAAAGATGACTTCAAAAACAAATTCACTAATAGAATATTTGACATTGTGTGATGTGGTCTCAAATAGAAACTTAATATTAAAATAAGAAATGTATTAAAAGTAATCAGATATGAACTTTGAAATGGCTCTGACATTAGAAATGTATAAAAATTGTGTACTTTTTTTATCCTTTAAAAAGTCCTGGAGATTTCTTTGTAAATATCAGATTCATTTGTTTGCTTTTTTTTTTCTTTTCCAGCATAATTTTGTCATGAGTAGTTTTAATCCACACAATGTAATTAAAGTGTTCAAATAAAAACAATTTCAAGAGTGAAAATTATTAAAAGCTATGATAAGGAACTGAGTTAACAGGGAAGAAGTCTGTGTTCTTTTCTTTTTATCATTCATTCATGCACTTAAAACATTAGCAGAATATGATTCCCTTTTTTAAGCAACTACCTGTCATATATGACCATTTCAGAATTTCTCTAAGTCGCTTAATACTGGTTTGACTTTATTATTAACAAGAGGCCCAAGGGCCTTATAGGTCACCTGAGTATCATGTAACAACTTGCCACAATTAAATTGGGTTCATTTTTTAAACCAGAGGCCATGAAATTCACAATTTTGAAAGAGGCACACTTGCTCATCATAACTTTACATTTAGTTTGCTTACTTAATACCCAGAAGCAGAGCAGAGGATTATCAAAGAATTAATGCATTTTCACTATGTAATCATTAGAGCCTTGCCCTAACACCAGAGCCCCTGACCCAGGGACCATAAAATTCACAATTTTGGAAGAGGCACTCTTACTCATGATAACTATACTCTTAGTTCATCAGCTTAATACCCAGGAGAAAAGGAGATTTTCAAAGAATTATTGCATTTTTTACTATGTAATAATTAGAGCCCCGTCCTAACACCAGAACCCCTTACCCAGGGGCCATGAAATTCGCAATATAGGAAGAGGCACCCTTACTTATCATCACTATGCATTCAGTTTGTTTGCTAAAAACCCTGGATCAAAGAAGATTTTTAAAGAAATAATGCATTTTCACTATATATTTAACAGAGCCCCCCCCCCCCCCCCCCCAACACCAAAACCCCTGACCCAAGATTGTCAAAGAATTATTGTATTTTATTATGTAATCATTCAAGCTCTGCCCTAACACCAGATCCCCTGACCCAGGGGCCATGAAATTCACAATATAGGAAGAGGCACCCTTACTCATCATAACTATGCATTCAGTTTGTTTGCCCTGGATCAGAGAAGATTTTTAATTTTCACTATATATTCAATAGAGCCAAGCTGTAACACCAGAACCCCTTACCCTGGGGCCAAGAAATTCAAAATTTTGGAAGAGGCACCTTTCATCATCATAATATGCATTTAGTTTGTTTGCTTAATATCCAGGAACAAAGAAGAAGCTTTTCAAAGAAATAATGCATTATCACTATTTCAACAGAAATTTCACAATTTAATTAGAGGGCTCAATGCTTATTACAATCATGCCAACAATTTGCCTGCTTGATGTCCAGGAGTAAAGAAGATGATTTTTAAAGATTGCATTAATTTTGATGGTTTTAGCCCCATCTCTCGGGCCCCAGCGGGGAAGGGGTCATGAATTTCATAATTTTTACTCCCATTCACCCATAGATGCTATATGCCAAATTTGATTAAAATTGGTTCAGTGGTTCCAGAGAAGAAGCTGAAAATGTTCAAATGTTAACGGACGACATGCGCCAACGGACAAAAACAGATAGCAGTAGGTCACCTGAGTAAACTCAGTTGACCTAATAAAATGAAAATGTGTTTTCAACTTTGATAAACCTGTTCCAGAATAGCTTTGCATCTTATTGAATTCAAGATATCAATTAATTTTATATATATCCTTATTCACACAAAATGTTCCTCACAGATACTCTCTAAATACTTTTGCATTCAAGTTTTCAAGTGACTGTATCATCTATACTGTATATGCTTTTCCTATAAACTTTGCGTTTTCTTCAGTAATGATAAATGCCCTTTAGGCCTACACTGGTTTGCTTCATTAAATTGCTTCAGAAATGAAATTGACAATGACATTTACTGAAACATCAGACATATATTTGCAGGAATAATATTTTCTTTCCATCACCGATTGTCCTCTATTGAACCATCTATAAGCTCCAAGATGAACTGGTCCATTTGCAGCTAATGGTATTGATGGCATCATTAGTAAATCAAAAATATCCTAGTGTGTGAGATAATTTACTGGGTTCTCTCAGACCAGTGACACTTTATCTAAGTCTCACACATTTTTCTAGAGTCGATGGACTGTAATGGTGCAAACACATAAGCTGAATTGTTGTTTTGATCACATTAAAGCTGACTGTTGTTAATGCATACGCCATGACTGACATAAAAACACCCCATTAAGAATACCCAGTAGAACTATCATTCTATATATTTACATCTTTATATATGCAAAAAGACCATGAGATTTAATTTGCATACATTTTTAGAAAGACATAGCTGGATTGCGTTTAAAACTGTATGAATTGCCCACAGTACTGTATTCATCAAAAATTCTCTCTCCATTGAGAATTTGTTTAATGTGGGGGGGGGGGGGGGGGAGAAGGGGAGTGGACAAATTTGCCTGAGCATCTGTTGAAAAAGGACATACAGAACTACAGTAAAACTCATTAAGTACAAACACAGATACAGTGAATTTACGGATAAAGTGAATTTTTTGGAATCCCCAGCAAAATTTTTAATAATTCCTTGTAAAATTTCACAGCTATAAAGAACATGGATATAGCAAATTTATAGATATAGCTTACTGATTGTGTGTCCCCTAAAGATTAAAAATAATGAAATTTATGGGGGGGGGGGGGGTTTATAACGAATTTTCAAAGATCTCAATTTTTAGAATATTGAACTGATGATATTTCTGTAAGAATTTATATTTGAAATTCATTTCAAATATAAACTTGTGTATACTTTAGCGAATTCTTTGTCTGGATATTACGAATTACGGATACAGCAAAGTAAATTTACAGGTCCCAGGGACTTCGCTACAACCGAGTTTTACTGTTCATATGTAAGATCCAGAATTAACAATGAACCCTATGAGAATGCCTCTAGAAAAAATACACACTTTATCCAAATTTTGTTTTAGTGAATTTGTGTCCATCAAATGAATGAATGAGTCATGATAGCTGTACATGTAACCAAGTAATATGCAACATTTTTGAAACACAATCAATTTACAGAAGCTTGAAGATAATCTCTATTTTTTTTCTTTTTCTTTTCTTTTTGCTTAAAATTCTGTAAACTTAGTTCTTCTATCATATATAATAACATGTTCTGATTTTTTTTTTTTTTCATTTTTATTTATTTTTTTTAAAGGGGGTGGGGGGGTTATGAATTTGTTCCTTACAATCATTATTTCTTCAAAAATAAAAGGCAGAAAAATTGCAAATGTATACGTCATATTATTTTTGCAAACTAAGGTTTTACCATCAAGTTTTGTTTCTCTGATTGAATGGTAATAATTGTCTCCTTCACAGAAGGAAAATTCAAGAGTCTGAGAAAGTATCTCACAGGGACTATAGTCTGTCCCATGATACCATAATCACTTTTTTGCATAACATCTCAAGATACATAAAAATCCCTCAGCCAGACACTTCTTCATATATAACAGGTTTGATAAGTGAAGTATTTTTTTCCAAAGCTATATAAAATTCTGCTTTAAAATGATCTCAAATTCAGTTAATGTATTGACACAGCAGCCAATTCAAAGTCTAATGGGATTTAACATTAGGAAAATGGCCGCCACTTTGAAAAGGAATCCATCATAACTCATGATTTTACGTGACAGAAATTGGCAAAATTAATACAGTAACCATAAATTTCCATAGACATTGAAAAGTCATTCCATCAGACTTTTGATTAAGTAACTTGATATAACTTTTAATTGTGCATGGATCCAATCTGACTAAAATTGGTTTAAAAAAGATAAGTAAGGCATTTGTTTATAGTGATATTCTCTTTTTTTAAAAAAAATGAGATGGAAGTGCTCATGTCATTCACTCAGCAATTATTACACTATGTACATGATGTAATAAGCAAAAGTATCAGCCTCTAACAAAAACCCAATGTTTACAGGCAAAATGTGTCATTCTACATACCTGCCCAAATCAAGTGCAATGCCTGTGCTTTCCTTGCTATGACCTTGACCCATGTATGACCTTGATTTGCTACAACATCCACCACGAGGTTTTCTGTCCGTCCAGTCATAGAAAAGGGGCAGAGGATCTGGACCACACCAGGGGCATTGTATGCTGCATGTAAACATCCAGCAAAGTGGCTCAAGTTGCTGCTCTTTAAATGATTTCCACAAACCAGTGTAGGAATCTTTCTTAGCTGTGAAAAACAAATGTATAAAATCTTTTAATCTGTTGGAAAGAAAACAATATATGGAAGGCATAAAAGACAATATGTTCAATATACATGTATAAGTTATTGTAATGTGATTTAAGATTTTTCATTTCTGTTAACATATCTATCCAATTAACGTCAACTCCCAAAAATTCATTATTTAATGCTGCGCATGAACATGACTTGTAAATAGGCATACACCATATTATTTTTCATATTTCCTACATCAGCACTGGGGTATATAAACCCTTCCTGTTTGTTACACCTGATTGTTTTTACCTTGTCACTGCTGCGTCAGTAGTGCATGTACATCTTACATTGTCATTTTTGTTTATATTTTATTTCACTGAACATTTCACTTTGTAACATTAACCTTTGCAATTAAAATCAAATGTAATTGGTAACTTTTTTCCTTACATGGCAGAGGCACACAGAAGTCATTTTTGTCATGCTCAAGTCTATCACAATGACAATGAAGGAGACATCATTTCAGATTGAGTCTGTGAAGCAAATCAATGAACTCTGAACAAAGCTGAGGCTTATATAGGGGGCTAGAGAATGATAGTCTTGAGAAGACAAATATGGCAGACAAAAATAACTCTCTTCCTTTTATGAATCGTGTTCAGCTTTAAGGCATCTTTTGAGATCAAACCTACACAACATTAAAATCTTATTCAACAGAGTGTATAAGATTATATTTGTTATATACTATTGAATAAAACTTAACTCATCCTATACTTTAATGCTGCATATAATGAACATTGACATTTTAATTGTTCACTTTGTCAATTGTTTTGTAATCACATCATCCTTTCCAAATGTTGGAATGTTAGGAGTGATATCATTGAATTGATCAACAGATGATTTAATTATTCCCAAAAAATTCATGAATTTTATTATATAATTTATTAAAACTTTTGAACTTTTGGATTGGCCTCTAAGCATACATGTAAGCAGCCAATGAAATTAAATTAAATGACAAGTAAACAGGAAACGCGATAATTAAAACACTGTAACTAAGATTCATGATTTCCAAATGATTGTGAAATATAAATTTCTATCTATAGTGTGTATTGAAGATTTAATCTAAATGCAACTAAGGTAAACTTAGCAATGCTTCCCAAATCCCTGAACACTATATAAAAGCCAATCCTAGGTGTTGATATTTTTTTATGAAAACGATCAATAATTCTGACTGGTACCATTAGAGATCAGTATCTCAAAACATAAAAAATACAAGATAAACTGGTAAAACAGGAAGTCTTAATTAGGAATACATGTATAATTAACATTTAGAACTTATCCCTCAAATCATACTCTTGTCAATTAACAGCCACTTTTGCAGTCTATAGGAACATCAGCTTTATCTCAGACATTTCTTGTATTCATATCAGACAGTTATGGAAGCATATATATCCTAGAATCTTCAATATCATCAATAACATAAATTTTATAACATCAATTCTATTAGCTATACAGCAGTTAGATGTATTTTATCAAGGGCACTTATCTAATCATTGATATATCAAATGAAAAAAAATATTTAGCATATTTTTACAAGAAAAATCTCATCACACTGGGATGAAGTAAACATCAGGCCAGTGGGCCACATTGCTCACCTGAGCACTTTGGCTAGAGAAAAGCAGAAATTGATTCAGGCTGAAAAGTTGAAATACATGAGGTCGGAAGGGGGGGGGGGGGGTAACAAACTTGAATTTATACAACTGAAGATGTCTCCATATTTCTTTGACTAATCATGACTTCAGATTTTTTCCCTATATATTTGTATTAAAAGTATAATCTATTGTGGCCCCATCCTACATGTATCTCCAAGGGTTATGATTTGAACAAACTTGAATCTATACTACCTTAGGATACTTCTATTTTAATTAATGAACAATTATGGCTTTGCTGTTCTTAAGAAAAAAAAAATTAAAGGTATTTCTTACATGTTCTTTTGTATAACTTTGATCCCCTGTTGTGGCCTTCGTAACCCTACCCAAGAGACCCCGAGTCATTATCTGAACAAATTTAGATCTAAGCTATCTCAGGGAGCTAATTTATGTGTGTATATATATATATATATATATATATATATATATATATATATATATATATATATATATATATATATATATATATATATATATGACTTATCATGGTTTTGCTGTACTTGAGAAAAAGATTTTTTCAGATTTTTCCTAATATATATTCCTTATGTACATTAAGTTTGTCATTTTATGAATGGCCCCACCCTACCCCAGGGATCATGATTTGAACAAAGCTTACACCTAATTAGTTTCATCTTTTCTGGCCCAATGGTTCTTGAGAAGAAGATCTTTAATAGATGCCATTAAATTTTCACTAATTTTTAATTATCTCCCCATGAAAGAGGGCATGGCCCTTCATGTAAACAAACTTGAATCCCTATCACCTAAGGATGCTTTGTGGCAAGTCTGGTTAGTTCTGGAGAAATATGTAAAGTTTATAGACACATGACAGACAGACGGACACTAGACACTTCTTGATCAGAAAAGCTAACTTTAGCCATTTGTTCAGGTAAGCTAAAAATAGCTATTAGGAGCTCTTCCAAATTGATAAAAAATATTGATCTTGTTGATGCAACATCATGTACAGTCATATATCAAACTATTAAATATCTGAAGTTGTATAACATTTCTATTCTGACAAATTAAAAACTACGGGAAAAAAAGCAATGGCAACATGACACATACATGTACTTAGATCTAAAGGGATCCATTCTTGTCTGTGTCCCTCTGCTTTGGTTCTCCGATTTCAGAGAAAATCAAATAATTGATTGATATTATAACATTGTATCTAGAAATTTTTTTAATGTTACTTGTCTTACAGATATATGTTGTACAGTGGTAACGGGAAGGCAGATTTAATTCTCCTATCAAGATTTGACCGATATATATGAGAATCAAAGTACTGATATGGTACTAAAAGACAGGTGAAATTTATAAAGTTCATGATTTTATAAAGTTCATGATTGTTGTGGATATTTCATATGGTTATGATAATGTAACTTTGAAAATATCACATTTTAAAATTAAAATAAAATTAAAAAATAAACATTGAAAGCAAAACATTATATTCAGCTCTGTATCAGGTTTATAACTTAGAGATCTTTATTCATAAGTTAGAGACCTTATAGCATTGTCGAAATTTTACAATTCTAATAGGTTGAATTTAATACTATGACTGTCACAGTTTCTGCATGTAATTTGTATAGTCACATTTAATAAATTTCAAAAGATTAAAATTTTTAAAATGCTTCACCAAAATCTTTTATTTGACCGTGTAGTAAATTTAATCTTCAAATTGCTTTCTTTTGTTTGATAAAGTTATAATTATGTCCTTTAACCAAATCAGTTTCTGCACTCTTTTCTTTAGCATAGATCTGAGGTGCAGTACCTCGGCATCTGTTGGAGGCCTCGAATGACAGTAAAAAAGTATGTGGGGTCAACGTGTGACCCCGTATAAAAATAATTTATGGATTTTATATCTTTTACATCTATACAAGGGCCTCAATTACAGTCATATTTTTTCATACAGAACTGTATTTGGCATATATCCATATTACATAACAATATATTACGTCAGTATAGAGCATCATAATTCATTCAAACAGAATACAGGTTTGTGATTTTTATTAAGCAAAAATATTTATAAAACTACAGAGATATTTTACATTTTCACTCAGAAGTGTACATGGAAAAATAAATATCACCAATCAAGAGAGTAAAATGATAATATTTATAATAATGTTTTTATGCCCCCGTATCAAAGATTCGGGGGTATGTAGTTTCTACCCTGTCCGTCCATATGTCTGTTTGTCTGTTTATCTGTTTGTCTGCAAAAACTTTAACATTGCCCATAACTTTTGATTGGTTGAAGTCTATAATGGCTTTCATATTTCATAAGTGTATTTCTTGTGACAATTAAGACCTTTCTTTGGGTACCATCATATTTGACCTTTTGACCTTGACCTTGGAGTTTGACCCAGTTTTACAAAATTTTACCCAACTTTAACCTTGGCCATAACTTTTGAACAGTTGGTGCTAGGACTTTCATACTTCACATGTGTAATCTTTGTGACAAGTCCTTCTTTTTAATACCAACATCTTTGACCCTTTGACCTTGACCTATGAGTTTGACCTACATTTGAAAAACTCTAACATTGGCCATAACTTTTGAACAGCTGGTACTACGGCTTTCACACTTCACATATGTAATCCTTGTGACAAAACCTTACTTGGAATACCAACAACTTTGACCTTTTGACCTTGGAGTTCGACCTGCTTTTGACAAACTTTAAACTTGGCCATATCTTTTGAACAGTTGGTGCTAGCTAGGGCTTTTATATTCCACATGTGTATTTCTTGTGAGAAGGTCTTCCCTTGGGCACCATTAATTTTGACCATTTGACCTTGAACTTGATATTTGACCTACCTTTGAAAATTTTTGACCTTTTCCATATCTTTTAAATGGTTGCTGCTAAGGCTTTCATATTTCACAGGTATATTCCTCGGGACAAGAACTTACTTTGGGTACCAACATATTTGATTTGCATTTGAGAAAGTTTAACCTTCGCTATAAGTTGCCATACGGGGGCATCAGTGTTTCACAAACACATCTTGTTTTCTAAATTAAACTCCCAAGAGTCATTTCAGAAAATATTTTTAGCACAAATAAATAAGTATTTATACAGTCAAAGTACTTTAATATTTCTATTGGAAACACCTCATTCAACTAATTACATCTTTACGTGATTCGTAATCCGAGTTTTATTTGTTAAAGTGCAATATACCAGCTGATATAAACATGTTCTCTCACTCATAAATCTTTAGATTAGCTCTGATTGCATCACATTAACTTGCATCTATCATCATAATCACTCACTTTTAACGCAATCTTTGTCAACTTCCTTGTGTCCTAAACATCTTATTGTATTACATTAT